TTATAAAAATAAAATTATTAAAATGTTTAATAGTTATTCAGTTTAGTCTTAATTAAACAAAGTTTAATATGATATTATTGAACAAATAATAAAGTTAAGAGTTATTTAAATATATTATTTTATTCTAACGCAAAACAAGAATATAAAACATTTTATTTTAAAAAATTAAACTAATAATTATTTTATAATAAATTATAATCAAAATGTTTTATTTCACAACTAATATACTTAAAGAAAACTTAAAAATCTTTCATTTAAATATAAAATAATTTTAATTTGGTTTTTAAGATCTATTGCTTTTATATAATTTCGTATTATAATCATATTATTTTAACATATTGTATAAATATACCATAATATACCATAATATACCATAATATACCATAATATACCATAATATACCATAATATACCATAATATACCATAATATATTGTATTGTAAATATTCTGTTATTAATTTAAATTAATATACAGTTTTTCATTATTTTTTCATTATTTTTCATATATTGTATTTAATTGTTTAATAAGTTTGAACAACATTTTGAAAAAATACATATTATGTAAATTTAATATTTGTAATAATTTATATAAATTATTTATTTAAATAATTTAAGTTTAATATACATTATTTTTAAGTTAAAATATTTAAACTAATGATAATTATTTAAAATACATGATGAGTTAAAATGATTTAAAATAAACATTAAAATATGAATAAATTTATTTTTTGTTTGACATGCTTTATATGTAATTTTTGCTTAATTTATACAATTAAAATGTTAATATTAATARTATAGTTTAATAGGAACTTCAATATTAATATTATTTATACAATATATAATAGAACTTTTGATATAATTTATAATTTTATAATTAATAAATAATTGCAATTTTGTAATAACATTTATAATAACAGTTTTTTCTATATAAGACAAACACTGTATTAATTTATAAATAGTTATAAGTATAGTAATCTTATAAATAAATAATATATAATTAATTGGTGTCCAATTGTTTGTGTCTAATCCTAATGTAGTTAAGTATCGGAAAAATATCATTCATATCTCCGGCACTCCTCCTAAAGGCCATCCTTCTGATGGGTCCCTTAAGACAAGGTGTTGTCGACTCATATCCGGCAATATAGTTGGCTCTCTTACCAAACCTCGGAGGCTTCTTCATGTCATAATTATTACAACCAATCGGTGCTGCGCTTAGTATTATTAGCGACAAATAACATACAATTATCAATAAATAAAACGCTGATATCTTTGATATCTCTACCATTTCAGCAATTAATCGGTAAAGTCTCTAAATTTATAAATAAATAGTTTTTTCTATATATATATATATTATTGGTTTTATTTTAATTTAATATTTAATTTAATTGTTATTTAGTAAAAATTACATTAATTATTTAATTAAGTTAAACAGCTCAAAAAAATTAATGTTTAAGAAATAAAATAAATATCTAATTCAAAATTATATTTTGTGAAATAATAATTATTAAACAAGTTTAATATAATTAATATTAAAGCAGCAAAACATTTCAAAAATAAGTTTTAAAATATAATGTAATTTTTAAAAACAAGTTAATTAGTATTAATATAACTTTTTAACTTTTATAAATATATTAACATGATTAATTATAAAATATAAAACTTTTAAATACCTTTAATAATTGAAGATTAATAAATTAGTTAAACTAAATAATAAAAATCACAAATTTATAGCATTTATTAAATAAGTTTTTGTTCAAATGATATTCAATTTATTGTTCACACATTTTTTACATACATTTATAATAAAATAATTATATTGTAATAGTTTTGAGAACTCAGTTGTTGGCTATATATGTAACGACACCAACACTACTATCTGTCTAATGAATGGCTACTCTAATGCTCAGACATAACAAATGCTCACCAATTGTCTAAAAAAGAGACAAAAGTTTTTTATTATATTGAGTTTTGTGACGTTATGTCATCTAATGTTTAGTCTCACCTCACCATAAGCTCATCACTAATGATAACACACATACACTTCGGTGTTGAGGACTGTTAGCCCTAATACTAGACATGACATACAGTTTTTAATTATTCATTACATAATAAATTACATAGTTTATTTTATCAACCGTTTTATATATACTTAATATTATTATTACTAGTGTCTTGATTTCCAACTAAAAAAATTATTTTGTCGGTTCAACACTTATAACTTTGACTTAGTATGTCCACCTAACTTGACCAGTGGACGCTATTTCCGAAATTTTATTATAACTATAAATAACTATTTGTTGGGTTAGAAACTATAAAAACTTATAAATAACTATTTCAGTTATTTTGAAAAATATAAGCATTAAATTGTAAAATTAAGCACAAATATATGTAAAAACAAAAAGTAATAGTTATATAAATTATATAAAATGTGTAAACTGTTTCAACTCATATTACTTTTTTAACAATAGAAATAATTAGTTTATTTATATAAATCATTTTTGTAAATATGCTGAAAACAAATGAATTATATATCAGTTGAAATATTTATAAAAAATAAATAACTATTTAAATAACTATTTGGCTTTTTTAGCAACTATATACAACTATTTAATACAGTTTAAATAACTATTTTAAAAACTATTTGACTTTTTTAGCAACTATTATAACAACTATTTAATAGAGTATAAAAAATTATTAATCAATACACTAATTATTACACTTATCAAGATTATTCAATTCATTATCTAATTTAATAGAGTGTATATTACTGTTAAAATTATTGATAACATTTATTACTAATCTAACATTATAACATATTTTAATAATTAATAATTAATGACAAATATTGACATATTAAATTTAATTATTTCAGATATTTAAAATAATTTATTATAATAATATAAAAAGTATGCTAAAAGTTAACTTTATTTTTTCTCGGAAACATATTATCTCTAGTATTTATCTCTTGGGATAGATTTTTATCATTAAGGTTTCAAATTGAAGTTAATAATTTAATAGTGTATTTATATCAAATTTATATGCAATGTATAGAAAAATTAAAATTTATCATTCAATGATTCATTAATAAATAATTATACTATTATTTGTTATTACAAAAAATTTAATATTCATTTGACTTTTAATGTTAAATGACATCAACACATATACTATAGTCTATTACAGTTAAGGAATTAAGTTTAAATATTATTACATTTTGTGTAAACAATTGAGTTTAATCTGAAATTGATATTTCTCTTTAATAGAATTATAAATTATATTATTAATCTTAATATATTATAAAACAAAAATTAAATTAATATATTTAAAATAATATATTTTGTATTAACAAATAATATAATATTCTGATAATATTTATTATTACTATAAATACAATATAATTGTTGTTTAAATTAAAAAGCATAACAATATTGGTTAACACTATTATAGAGTTATTGTTGCATTTAATGTATGATATATACTAAATAGTACATTAAGATAATTTGTTTTTAAATATTATAACACTATAAAACATAATTTTATATTATTTTGCGAAGAGAATCAATTTTGTCATAATTAATATTTAATGGTTTATTAGAAAATGTTAGTCAAAAATATATAAATAATCGAAACATTATAACTATACAATGAAATATAAAGTAATCAATAAAATATACAAAAAATATAATTAGATAAATAATAAAAATAGCATTTTTTCTAAGAAATTAATTTTATCATAAAATACACACTTCATGTGTATAAAAATAACAAAAACATGACAATAGAGAAGTGAAATATTAGTAATATAATTAAATTAAACAATTATAGTGTTATTTGCCAAACATAGAGAGTCTATAATTTAAAGACAAACTTTTATTGTTATTATTTTACTGTAACTTATTTATCACACAAACACAACAATTGATGGATTATATAGTTTTGTTGAATGTGTCACTATTTTTGTTGTCAGGAAATGTATAGTCAATTGAGGGGTTTAATGACTCGGACTTTACTAGGAATTTACTGTATTTTTTATATTTTATTATATATTCAATTTAGTAATAAACTTCTGCTATGATTTAATTAAAATATTATTAAAAATTATTAAATTAAAATATGACAATAATTTCTATTAAGTAAACAATACTGTTTTTTATTTCTTATGGTTAATATAATAAGTTATATAATGATTTAAGTTATTTATTATTGTCAAACATATTTTGYGAGTGATATCTCTAATTTATAATATAAATAATCAAAAATATATTTTAATACATACAACATATTTAGCAAATTCTAAAAATACAAATCAATTAATTAATAACAATTTGGACAATTATACTAAAATTTATAATTATAAACTATAAACTATATAATTAAATTATAATTAAATTTTCAAAAAATATATTATTTTGCAAAAAGTCAAATTTTAATTTTCATATAATTGACATATAATTAAAAATAAATATATATTATGTGGCAATTATTTTAAAATTGTATATTTAGATAAAATAATTGATTATAATTTTAAAATATTTTTAAAAATATTTGATATTATTTTATTAAGAAAACAAGTTCATAGTTTAAAATAATGTTTATTTTAAAATATAAATTATGACTCATTTTAAAAATTAATTTATATAATTAATTAATTTTTATTTTAATTACAGCTCTTAATGTGCTTTAATATGTTATTTGATGTCATTTTTAAGTGTTTTATTTTATAAAAAATTAATTTGTTATAAAAGATAACATTTATATAATAGTGAATATTAAAACTTTATTTAATTATATAAATAGGCTAAATATATTTTTTAAATTAATAATAAAAATAATACAATAATTAGACTAAATGAGGAAGTTTTTGAATCACCCAATTTGAATGATACAACTTTCCTCTAGTAAATAATCAAAATTTATAAACTAATAATTTTGTAATCTATTTAAAAATGAAAACAATATTGTTTTAAATTTATATTAGTTATTTAAACAAAGTTAGTTAAAATGATTAAACTAACTATAAGTCTATTTATAATTATAATTTTTTCACAAAATTCATTAAATGCTGAATTGCCGACACTTTACGAGTATTATACTAATGGTAGTATCACTAGTGGTTTGATAAGTGGATCCAACGGATTCACATTAAATGGTAAAGACATAACACTTTTGAGTGGAGAAATGCATTACTTTCGAGTCCATCAAAACAATTGGCGACCAATTCTTGAGCGAATGAAATCGGCCGGACTTAACACTGTTTACAAATATTTAATAATATATCAATTGATATAATATTAATATTTAATTTAAAATTTAGATACAATTTTACTCGCCTTGGAATTTACACGAAGAAATTCCTGGAAATTTTGACTTTGAAACCGGAATATTAAATATCAGTGATTTTTTGACAGCAATACGTGAAGCAGATATGTTTGCTATGTATAGACCCGGACCGTACATATGTGCCGAATGGGAGTTCGGAGGTCTACCCGCTTGGCTGCTCAGGGATTCTAATATGAATGTCAGATCCATGTATAAGCCATATATAAAAGCAGTTGAAAGATATTGGAAACAATTGTTTGATACAATCAGAGGATTTCAATTCACTGTAAACGGCGGACCAATTATTGGCGTCCAAATTGAGAATGAATTTGGATCTCTCGGTAATACTGCTAAAAGTGTTAATGATTTGAATTACATCAAGACTTTAGGATCAATTGCTAAGAAATATGGAATTCAAGAATTATTGTTTACATCAGATGGTCCTCAAAGAAGTGGATCTTCTAATGGTTTGATATTCGCATAAAATATTTATTTTTTATAAATTGCTTTATTTTATAGAATATCTCCAAACAATTAACTTTAATAAGAATTCGTTGAATAACTTAATGAAACACAAGAAAGCAAATCCAAGTCAAGCCTTATATGTGGCCGAGTATTGGATCGGTTGGTTTGATAGATGGGGTGCTAAATATCATAACACACAAAATGTCACATATTTTGCTCAACAATTTGATGAAATAGTATTTCAAATGAACTCATCGTTTAATGCATACATGTTTATAGGCGGCACTAACTTCGGATTTATGGCCGGCAATGTAGGCACTATAGACAGTGGTGTATTGGGACAGGCATTTATAACCAGTTATGATTATGATTCACCTCTTACTGAATCAGGTAAGGTATATCTAATATAATATTGCATTATTTATAAGTATTAACTCATACTAAAATTATTAATATTTAAGGTAATTATACGATTAAGTATTGGAAAATTAAACAATTAATTCAAAAATTTAATGATGAAAGAAAATTACCAAAATTACGGACACAATTACCGCCTCCTATTAATAAAGCAGCAAATTATGGGGTGATTAATATAACTGAGAAATTAAGTTTAAGTCAAGTTTTGAAATATATAAAACCGTTTCAATCAAAAACTGTTGTTTCAATGGAAAACATCAATTTAGGCCCAAATTTTGGTCAAAACTATGGTTTTACTTTGTATCGCACAGTTATACCAATTAGTAAAGTCATAACTTTTTCTAAAGGTATTTAATTTTTTAAACAAATTTTTCAAACAAATAATTTATTTTTGTTTTAATTTTAAAGGCAAAGTCAACGATAGAGCGGCAATTAGTGTGAATGACATTCAAATTGGTTTTGTTTATTCAAAAAAAGTTCATTTGAACACAAAATACCTGAAATTGTTTTTAATTCAAACAATAAAACTACTTATAATTTAGATATTTTGGTTGAAAATATGGGAAGAGTTGGTTTCACAGCAATGATTAAGAATATGACAYTACAGAGGAAGGGTCTCAATGAAGATATAATCATTGATAGCAAAGTGCAAAATGATTGGCACATCTATGCTCTAGAATTAAAGAAACAGTTTATAGATAATCTTAAAAATGAAAAATGGGAACCAATTGGCAAATATTTAAGTCCAGCATTTTATAGAACATACCTAACCATTGATGACTCACCACAAGACACATATATCAAGTTTGACAATAACTGGACCACTTGTGTTGTGTTTGTCAATGGCTTCAATTTGGGTCGTTATTGGAATGTCGGTCCACAACGGACTCTATACATACCGTCACCAATATTGAGGAAAGGATCAAATGATATCATATTATTTGAAACTCAGAAAAATGGATATCAAATAGAGTTAATAGAAACACCAATTTTAGGTTAAATACAGGATATTTGAAATAAAGTATCAATATTTTTATAATTTCACAAATAATAATTAAAAATCACTTATATTGGTATTGTGCAATGAAAGTGACCCTTGATATAAATTTTTTTAAAACTAATTTTATAAAAAAGTTAATTAAGTTAGATTAATTTTATTTTCACTTTATAAAACTATAACATCTCCTCATTTGTCATGAAAATTTTTAATACATTTGATAAACAACTTCCTGTGGTTTTTAATCGAAAAGCACATCGACTACCATTTAGACATCATCTGGAATTTTGATTTTTTCGATGTTAAAGGAGTGTTGTATTGATCGAAACAAATAACATTTTGACAAAGCAATATTTGATCAATATGATAATTCATGAACCGTTTTAATCAATCTTATAAATCACTTCGAATTTACTAATAAAAAAAGTTCTGGCATATTTGCACTTAATTAGCCTATTGTGTAAAAGCAAGATTATATAGTAGTTAAATAAATGACAGATATTTTTAGTAAAATGAGGTCAAATCTGTTTTAATAGTTAATAAAATCAATGACCAATATATCTCGAATTAATTTAAATTAAAACATCAAATTTATCACTTATAATTTATATATTAATTTCATTTAAACCTTTGATGTCAGTCACGGACTTTCTTTATCTTCTACATTAACACCTTTTGTTTTTAATTTCTTTAACTAACGCTGATATGCTCTCTTAGTGACGGCTTCAAGATAAGTATAGCTAAAATTTATTGCGGGTTTCAATAGATTAGTTTTGTAATGATATTCATATTCTATCTCATATTTTAATTGGATGTCATGCGAGTTCAAGCCGTCTAACTATTTTATTTTAAGTTATATTACAATTCTTTAATATCAAAATTAAAGACTAGTAATCAATGTATCTGTATGTGAACAAATCACTTTTTAAACATTACATGGGGTCACACAAAAATAAAGTTACTTTTTGTTATTTGATTTAGCTCACTTTCTATACACGGCACCAATATATATACATTTGTATGTTTACTGATAATAATAATTTATAATCTATTTATGATTTAATAAATTTTGTTATTAAAAATAAATTATGGTCAGTCAAATTTTATAAAATAAATTTTTGTTAACTAATTTATGATTTAAATCTGTATATAATATAAATTAGATTGTTTTGATTATTATAAAATTATCTAATATATGTTAATTTAAGAATATAGTCATTAATAAAAGATCCAATATATAGGACACTCTGTTTATCATTGATCCGCACTTCTCTGACCTCTGAAAGCAACGTATATATCTCATGATTGCCGTGAAGTGTTTGAATAATATTGCCATTGATGTCGATCTCAACAATCATACCATAATTTCTTGAACTATCTTTGAACAGAATGGCCCCTAATATAAATCCACTCTTAAAATATGATCCAAATTCTTGAAGAGCCGATACATTGAGGATATCTCCGACAGATGTGATAGCACTTCCCAACAAATGTGTAAAACGACACAAAAATTTTCTCATAAGAGGCCTATCCATATAAAAATCAATATTAGATGGCTTAGAGGCAGTCCTAGCAGATCCCAGTGCTACCCAATATGTCTCACATTTAGTGTCAACACTTCGCCTTATATTATCGGGTTCTCCCGGTAGGTCTGCCAAAATAGCCGACTCTCCTTTTTTAGGACCTTTAATATAATGTTTGATAACACGTCGTGTAATCCATTCATTAAATAGTATAGAATTTTTGTCGTCACTTATTTCCATACCGTTTGGCAATAATATATCTTTTACGACTGATTCTACTTTACGGGCATTTATGTCATATTTGACAATTCTTCCCGTATCTGATCCAAAGACAGTAAACATCATTTCAAAAAAGTCAAATCTTACACTAATATCGGATACATATAATACATGTCCTCCATTAAGTCCTGCGCCCTCATCAATTGCTACATCATTGAAAAACTTTGATGATTGTCCTCCCAGTGCTTTGGTGTCTTCAATATCAAAAACAAGTTCAACTTTTGGTGTCTTTGTAAAAATATTTTTCACCAAAAATACACCAATATTTGGATCGACAACATATAGTGTTCCTTTAGAGTCAAATCTCATACCCGCCGGACGACTACACTTTGACCGGTTGTATGGATTGATTTGATAACAACTTTTCTCTGAAAGTCTAAGCAATCGTTTGACATTATTATCGTTCACTTCATAAAGATATCCATCTTCAGCGCCGGTGATTAGTCGGCCATTGAATTGTGCTATAGATTCGGGTCCCACGATCTGATTCTTCAATATTACCGACGATTGTGTTAAAGCATCGTTTGCTTTGAACGGACCAACAAATTCTTCGGGTAATTGTCGGTCACGTGGTTTCGGGTCGATGTCAAGTAATATATTTGCCGGTAATATTAATATCAGTGCAATGAAAACACCAAAATAAAGAGCTATTTTAAACATTAACTTGATCATTTTAACAAAGTTACATTATTTTTTAACAAATATTATTATTATTTACTATTATGTAATATTTATCCAATTTAGCTTTATTTTTTTTAAATGTTATACAGAAACATTAATTTTTATTCTCATTAGACAATAAAAAATTAATATAACAGTATTGGATTCAACATTAAGTATACACTTAAAGTAAGATTTTTAAAAATATTATATTAATATTTCTATCAAATCACAGCAACTTTTATCAATGAAATTATGTTGTACTTTGAGATAAAAATAAATTGATAATAATTAATAAATTAGTGCTTAACATTGATATAACAGCTAATCAGCTAACAGTAATTAATATACAGTGAATGTATTGTAACGTTATATAAAAATAAACAGTTAATGAATAAAAATTAAACATAGTATTTATATAACATAAATTATATTTATAATTATACATTTGTAGTATAAAAAAATATTGCATATTCAGTTTTATATGAGTAATTTCTAATAAATTTTTCTTAAAAATTTTATACAATGTTTCTGAGTAAACGTACAAAATAAATTACAAAAATCTATTAATTTTGTAAACTTTCACTAGTAATTAAATATCAATGTCTAATAAGTAAAAAAAATTAATTATTGCGATATATTGTACAGAACTGATATGAGAACATAAATTTCTTTTAGAAATTTTCAAAAAAGTTTCTAATTCTCTAGAAATTTTCCGTTTTGACATTTAKGTCTATTACACAGATTAGTACTCATCTGATTTTTTACATTAATAGTAGAGTACATATAGTATTGTTAATCAATATTGACGATAATTGACTCTAGGCAATTTTGAAATAAGCATTATAACAAGGTTATCTAAATTATATTAATTAGTTGTTAAAAATTATATATCATTTATATAAATTGTTTATTTAATAATATTTTTATAAATTGTTTTATCTATAATATATTATTATAATATAATTAACAAAATAAAGTATAAATAAAACTATGTATTAAAATACAATTTAGTTAATGACATTTCTAATTATCAATTAAAATAAGATAAATAATTTGACAAATTTATCTTTTTAATGTTAATTTTCCAATAAAATTATTAATATATGAACCAATATATAAAACCGATTCCTTATCATTGAGAGGCACTTCTCTGACTTCGGACAGTCGGGTATAAGTGTTGTCATTTGTCTGAAGAGTGTTCACTATATTGCCATTAATGTCGATCTCAACAATCATTCCGTAAGAATTTGATTCAAATTTCATAACTATTTCTTCAATGAGACCACCGTTTTTTAAATACAATCCATAACTCTTTACTAAATCATTGCCAACAATCTGACCGCTATAGTGGACAACACTACCCAAGAGATGCAAAACACGACAACAGAGTTTTCTAAGCAATGGTTTCTTGAGATAATAGTCCAACTCATTTGGTTTGGTTGTTATTCGTGCAGACAAAAGGGCTAACCAATAGGTCTCTTGTTTAGTATTACCACTCCTCCTAATATTGTCCGGTTCTCCGGGCAATTCGCTTATCAACTCAATTGACTGACCCTTTTTGGGTCCATTTATATAGTGCTTAATGACTCGTCTGGCGATATATTCATTAAATAAAATAGCATTTCTGTCATCAGTTATTTCGACACCATTTGGAAACAACAGTTTATCCGCCACTAAATTGACTTTTCGGGCATTGATATCATATTTAAATATACGTCCCATATCTGAACCCATTATGATTAAGATAGCTTGGTGACATCTAAATTTTGTGCTCACATCTGATATGTACAGAACATCACCACCATTAAGACCGGCGCCCTCATCGATGGTCAGGTCGTCTAAAAATTTCGATACCTTTCCCATTGCATTGGTTTGTTGTATATCAAGGACTTGTTTTATATTTGGATGACTTGAGAATACATTTTGTATTGAAAATACACCTAAATTTGGTTCGACAACATAGAGTACTCCTTTGGAATCAAATTTAAGACCCAGAGGTCGGCCACAGTTTGTTAAATTAGTTGAGATATCATAACAACTTTTTTCTGCTAATTTGAACAGTCGTTTCTTAGTGTCTTCACCGGTAATTTCATAGATATACCCGTCAGCAGAACCGGTAACCAAGCGATTGTTAAATAAAGCAATAGACTCGGGACCTATAATTTCATTGTCCAACAGTTTGCTTGACTCTGATAATCGATCATTCAGTTTGTATGGACCTTCAAATGCTTTGGGCAGTCTATGCATGAATTTCTTGGGTTTAATGTCCAGGAGTACACTTCCAGGTAATATCATTACAAGTGTCGCAAATGCACAAACATAAAACAATATTTTAATCACTGTTTTTAACATTTTTGAAAAATTTTTATATTCAAACTTCAAAGTATTATAATGTTATACAGTATAGAAATATATATATCGGTAAGTTTATAATGTTTATACTGTTATATATATATATATATATATATAAGAAAAAATTATGTTTGAATACAATGAAGTAGTTTTATTTATTGTTTAACAAAACCATTATTAAAGCTACAATGTATAATAAGTCAGCAATTTTAATCAAACAATAAATAACAAATAACAGTATAAAAAGTTAATCACAAATTAAAACAATTATAACTGACACTATTATTATTAGTTGTAATAAAACTGAAACTGAATATAATTTCAAGTGTTTATTGGATATTAACTTTTATTATATTATATTATTTATAAATTGTTTCGTAAATGTTTCATAGGGTTTTTATTAAAAAAAACATTTAAGTTGAATTTTGAATTTTATTTCAAGTAATTTATATGTTATTTTTCCATACTTTTTATAGATAATCAATTAATTGGTAACTTATCAAAGTAAATAATACTAATTATTTGCGTCAATAAACCAAAGTTTTAATGAACAATAAATGATAAATTATTGATAATACATATATAAAAATTACATTCACTTCAATGAGTTGTTCAAATAATAACTTAATATTGTTTTTGATGTGCGATAAGACATTTTATTAGTTATTAAGTTAATTATAATTCACTTTTGAATACTTAAATTAATTTTATTATATTATAAATATTTTATTTATAACTAAATATCTACTGTATTTTAAATTATTAGTAGTATTGTAAATTTATTTTATTAGATAAACTTCTGTATTACACTGTATTTTTATAATAATTAATAATAATATTTGTAAAAAAATATTAGTTTTATAATTGCAATAAAGTTTAAATTAAATATTAGTTCTCAATAAAAGCGACATTATTTGCCATTTGTTAACCATTTGTGCATAAATTGCAAAATGTCTCAAATGACAGGATATTTGTCACAAACATTGCATAAATAGATAAATAATTTCCATCTTTTAAATAATTTGTATGTTTGACAAACAAATGAAAGGAAAGCATATTTTTATTTGAATTAATTATTTTCTAAAAAACAAGTTTACATTTTGTCACATTTGTATAATTTATTAATAATACTGATGTCACCATCACTATAGCCATCATCTACTGGATGATCATAAACAGTGTTTGTTGAGACAATTGATTCAATAGTTTTGCGACCATTTCTGCTGAAAGCTGTCGGTCCGTATAACATAATTGAGTCAAAATCAAATGCTGTCATCAATTGATTTTCGTTTTCTATTAATTTAGCGAACTGGTAGTCCATACCAAACTTGATGTTTTCAAAGTGTATTTTGATATATTGATCCCTATCCGGTCGGTTATGTTCATGAAATAATCCTATAGCGTGAGTCAACTCATGCATTACTGTCCTTAGATAATGACAACCCTCTCCCAGTGATAAGTCTTGTCTTCCATCATAACGGCCCACATATGAGTTGCATCCCTCACCGAGATATACAAACACATAATTTGCTTCATTTGTCCTCATCTTAAATGTAATACATGTCCGCTGAGTGATGTGATTCATTGTCCGATGAATAAGATCCAAGTGCTCTGTTAATGAGTCGTCAATTTTATAGTAAATAATACCATCTGTCCATAGATTGACCACTTTGGAGATGGCTTTAAAATTGCCATTTTGTCGGACTCCTAATATATCGCCTTCAAAAAGTTGCGGATTTTCCATAGGATTTCTACCATTTTTATCCACTTTAATATAATTACTATTTTTAATAATCGTTAAATATTAAGAGTTTTAAAATCATTATATTACCTGGGTATGACATCAAAGTTTGAAATAAGTATAATATTGATAAAAATGTATAATTAGAGTAAATTTTGATTATAAGGGTAATAATCTTACCAAAATATTTACAAAACATAAAATTAAACATTTTTTAATATAAAGTAAAGTATTAGAAAACCAAAATTTCATATAAAATAATTAGTATTTTAATTTTATTTCGTTTTTGTAATTAAATTATGTAATTTACAATGCGGACTATATTAATATATCGAAAATTAAAATAATTTAGTATAAAAATTATATTTATAATAAAATAAAATTTGCTAAAAATGATGATAAACCAAATTATTTTGTTAAATGATTTTAATTATTGTATATGATCAAGCTAAATTTTAATTATTATCATTTCAATTACATGTGTTTATCATAATATTGATTACGGTATTTTAAATTATACACATATAAAATTTGAAACTAGTAAATAGGTTTTATTTAAATTTTATTTTTAGTTTATATTTTAAATATAATTAATATCAAATTATATTGATATTAACTAATTATAATATAGACAGCATACTATTTAAATTATAATTTAATAACTATCATTAAATATAACATAAAGTAAAAGTTGTCTTATACAGTATAACTTGATGTACATTGATTAGTAGTGAGGTCAATGCTTTATAAATAAAATAAACTTTTATGAGTATTAATTTTAAATATACTATTATTTATTATGTTTAACTGATCAAATAACTATAATATGATTATTATTATTATATATATATAATGTTTTTTTGTGTTTTTATAATTATAATATTTGAAAATAATATTTATAAAGCTTGTTATGTATATACTGTATATCAATGCATATATTATTATTTAATTTTATTTATAATTCAGTATTCAAATGCAGTATAAATATATTTTTACTAATAAGGAGTTTTAGGTTATTTATAAACTACAATATACTGAATAAGTTATACACTGTATACAGTATAACTAATAGCTGATAAAGTTTGACTGTTAATCTTTTAACTATTAATTTAATTAAATTTTGAGTGACAGTCATTTTTGCTTAGTTTTAAAGGGGTATTATTAAACGTATTAAACAAACAAATACTGATTAAATAGTATTTATAAAAATATTTGACAAAATTATAAATAAAATAAATATGATAATACACTAAAATGAACTGTATCCATCTATGAGTGAGTGAGTGAGAGAGAGAGAGAGAGAGAGAGAGAGAGAGAGAGAGAGAGAGAGAGAGAGAGAGAGATTTATATGTATATTGAATATAAAGTTTATAAATTTATATTTATATAGTGATCTAATTTCCTCATATGATATTCATATGAAATACAGTATTGAAATACCAGTCATATTATACTGTAGTGCATTGTAATTATGTTTTTAGTCATTGTATCCAAAAATGATGGTTAAATCTCCATAAATATGCAGTAAATATAATATATCCTGTTGTTTGTATAGCAATGTTTATCATTGAATATCTCATATCATTTTGTGGCAATAATTATTATAAACATATTTAATGGTTGAATTGTATTGAACCAAACTTTTAACTTTTATTTTCCTTATTTTTTTTGTATACTTTTTGTTTATAATTTAGTGTTTTGTCTGTTAATAACCAAAAATGAACTGCAATTGCAATAAGTTATTGATTTGTTTCTTAAAAGTTGTTTTATTTTTATTATGTGTTTCGCATATAGTTTTGTACACAAAATTGTATTCAATTCCCGAATACTATCACCTATTAGATGCCGAAGCACTAGACAAAAGGATATTCATCTTAAATAAGATTATCTATTACTCACTTTTGTTGATTTGTCTCATTTCTGGTATATTCAATGGATCTGTATTTCTTCAGTCATCAACTATTGGACTGTTTTTCATTTGGTACGAAAAACATAAGCAAAATCCGGGTTTATTATGGACCGGTAGTATTGAACACATAGCTAACTATGTGTTGCTTATATCAGTGATAATCATTGGCCAACTCTTAGCATTTATAGTATCGTCTTTACGCTATACACCCGTACACTACCGATACTCGCCTGCCATCAAAGCAACCAATGATTTCAGTTATAAACACAATCGCAACACAAGTGAGACCTCATATCTGCGACCGACGGCTAATGGCAACAGTCAAACACATATCCATTATTTTGATCAGTAATTTCCAGTTAATCACTGAAATTCATCTCTTATTTTATTTGTGATGTTTAGTTGAAAATCTATGTTAACTTTAATTATGTTTAACACTTTTTTTTAATTGTTTTAATACATTTATTATGAATATGCAATCAATTAAATCTACTTATTATTATACTATGCATTACTGGTATTGTAATAGTATTTTTTAATTATTTAAAAGTTATAAAAATATCCCAATAATGTAAATCTGATTAAAATATTTAATATTATTTATTTTTATACTACAATATTGTATAATTATATTATTAAAAACTATTATAGAAGATACATGAAGATGCTATTATATGATATATTTACTTTTAATAAATAATGTATATAAAATTATAAATTGCGTAAATAAATAAATAATAATTTTTATTTAAGGTCACTTATTACTTACAATAAAGTGTTTAATTATACACAAATTAAAATTATATTTTATATCTAATAACTTATTATTTAAAATATAATAATAAATTTTATTAACAGTAATAATAGAAATTTGTTCCTTTAGTAACCGATTATCAAAAAATAAATATTTAGGTTAACATTAAATCAGATAAAAATAGGTAATAAATTGTATAAATGATATTTTTAATACATTTATCTATTAAATATATACATTGTGTTGATTGAAAAAATGAAATATTTTGCTTATAATATATTATTGAATTTATGAGTTGATATTCATCACAACGACAACAAAAATTTATTAATTGAATAAACTGTTAATGAATTCAATTTTGTTTACCTGACAATGATCTAAATATTTAGTTTATTTTAGAGTTTATTATAATATATTAATAATATAGTATTAAGGTTTCAAATAAACATTATGGTTTTAAGTTGAATTGAAGTTTCAATTGAAATATTACTTAAATAAGTGGATACTAATGCCAGTTCCGATGCGCCGATATCTCGGTCGGTCAGCCCTACAAAACAATGACCAGAGACTGATCCCGGCTATAGTTGCCTGTAATTTCTCCATATGTTTCCTTTTGTTTGGTGTCTTCTTGACCATTGCTGGTATTATATTTCGGTCGATAGCTTCTTCATCGACAGATCCAGTAACACATGAATACAACTATAATCCCTCATCGACTGCAGTAACTGTGGGAACAATTATTTTGAGTGTCGGTTCAGTGCTAACAGCCATTGGATTAGGTCTACTGTTATATGCGTGGATTAGCTTTAAAAGATATGAAATGGTTAGAAATAGTCAATTGCATCAAAACTCGACTACCAATAGTAGCGTTGGATCAGTTAATAACATTTATGAGACCACTTTCCCAAATGGTCAATCCAGTAGTCCACAAACGGTCATTCAATCTCATCCATACCCACAACAATCTACTGATTGTAGACCACAACAGGTGTACACTATTGATAATGATTACGAACCGCCACCCAGTTATGCATCTATTGTTGGCAACTATAGCGCAAATAATAGTCAATCAACGAAACACTATTAAAATAAATAGTATTCATATTTATATATTATTTTACTTAATTTTCTACTTGTATATCGGAAAAATATTTTAGATAATTACAAAAATTATTATAATTAAATTAAGCATTTTATTTATTAGATAAATTAATTTTTAACTTAATCATTTATAATCTATAATTTATATAATTATCTATATTTTACTGTTAAACATAAGATTACCAAAGAAAGGTTACCAAAAAATGATCACTTGGTTATCCTCACCAATAATATAATAATTTTAAAACATTTAACTAAATAATTTAGTTGTGAAATATATTTATAATTGAAATATGATATCAAATGAATTTTCTTATATTTCTATTTGTATTAAATTTATTAATAATAATATAAATGTTTTTCTTTCTATAAAAATGAAATATAAATTATATTTCAATGCTGTATTAAAATGACAATTATATAAATAAAATATACTATACTTTATAATAGAAAAGTTATTTCAAACTAAATACAGTATAATATGATATATAAAATAAAATGTTATTATCTATTGATTTAAAATTTAATATCCTAGATTTATTTTAAATTTTATAAACAATAAACTGATGTATATCTGTATATCGGTCACTGTCAACCATAAATGTCTCAAAAGTGATAAATAAATTTAATTACATATTAATGATTGGCTAATACAGATATTAAGTAAAAATTTAAATAATCATTAAATAGTTGAATAATAATTAGACAATAATTAAACAATTGTCTTCTATTTCATAAGTAATATATATTTTATATAATTATTTAATTTAAAGTATAATTTTTCTAAATATATATCTTTAGTTTATTAAATAGTACTCTATATATACATTTATAATTAAATGTTATATTAGATTTTATATAAATATATAATTACAAAAATAAGTATATAAATAGTACTCTATATATAAATAGTACTCTATATATAAATATATATATATATATATATATATGTATAATGTAATGTAAAATATAAATATATATGTATATATATATATATATATAACAAATTAATGATTTGATTATAAATTAATAACTTAATTAATGCGACAAAATGTAAATACAATAAAATAAGCAATTTATGATAATTGTATATTTAATGTTAGGTATTTTGTTGAGTCAGTTAAACATTAATTGTCTAATATTATGAAAAATATGACAAAATTGATAGTAATGTTGAATAATTGCCAAATAAATAATATGAATGCTATGAATGTCTCAATAAATTCAATACTTTATTTACTTATTACTTAATCATTGCATATGTACTGTAAATTTACTAACATTTTAAACATTTCATAACAGATTGTTATAAAATATGATTCATAAGGATTTTCAAATTCATGTTATCATTTAAATTATAAAATTTTAATTAAATAATTTTTAATTTACATTGAAAATATGTTTTAAACAATGAATAATAGTGTGATAAGTAAATATTTATATAAATCATAAATATTAATCAATTGAATGAAATAATCATGAAATTCATTAAATATTTTTTGATAAGTTGTCTATTATATACAGTACTGTATAGTTATATCGTGTATAGACTGTATAATACAGTTATTTAACAAACATAGCAACCGTTAACATATCTGTTATAATCATACAATATCTACATGTGCATAATTTTGATTGTTTTATTTAAATATAAGTAAATGTTTGAATGTTTAACGAGAGTAATGATGAGTGCACTTATCAGACATGTATGATATGAGACAATGATTGCATTCAATATTAATAACACTTTCACTCTTTTGTCAAACATTTAGTGATTACTTGACTGTTGTTGTCATCAATTGATACCTGTTTTGACACTTCAGTGATCATAACATTCAATCACTTGCAACCCATTTATCATATCATAGACTATGTCTTCAATACAGTCATTTCAAGACTCAAAGTTTCAAAACTTTTATCACGCCTTTAGTGAAGCGGTTAAAGACAACGAAAGTACGGCAAATATCGGCAAAATCATCGAAATGTACTTCGGCTCCAATACTAACCAATTGGCCAATAATTGGATATTTTGTCATCACTTACTTTTCACTTTCATCGGCGAATCGCTTGTTCCCGAAGAATCTGTCAATCGATTTGCAATTAACCAGCGATTACTGGGCGATCGGTCACAATTGGTCCGTCAGTTTGTCCATCAGTATCCAGAGTATCAGTTAAATTTGATACTCTTGTTGGCCAACATTAAGATCACTCTTCAGTTAACTGACGATCTATTTAATGAACTGATTAAATGTCTTTACGAGATGAGAGTCATCTCACAACACGCTTATAGACATTGGTATCTCTGTAACCGTGACTTCGAGGGTCGGGTGAATGCAATCAACAGTTGTCTCGATTTACTTGACTTTATTAATGAGACCCGAAAAGAGATTTTCTATGAGAACTACAAACAAGACATAGAGTGATCTCTTATATAATTACCAACTCTTCTTAACACAAAAAATCCGTTTTATATAAAATAATATTTTTATACATTCAATGATAATATCATATATTCACTAATTTTTACTTTTAATTTATATATAATTGACATTACTTTTGATTACTTTTATTGATTATTTGTAATTTCAAAATTATTTTCATAAGTATTCATAATAGCTTTAATAAGCGGCCAAAATGTTTATAGTGATACAAATGCCAAAACAACAAACATTATTATATTACCGGTAGTGTTAAAATAGATATAAAAATTTTAATGTAATTTTAATAATAATATAATTTGTGGTTTTAATAAATAAAACTATTATTCAATTATCTTATGACTACAACTTATTGCCATTTTTTGTTACTATAGTTTTATAATATTATCATTAATCAGTTTATTATTGTATATATTTAATACTACATATTATATATATTGTATTATTAAATAATTTATTATGTTGCAATATTGAAATAATTATTTAACTAATATATATATATATATATATTGTTAGTTTATTTAGTTAATAAATCATTTCTTAATGAATATTTTTATCATAAATTTGAAATTAAAAATAGTTAAATTAGTTTTTTAATGGAAAACAAAAAGAAATAGTGAATAGTAATAATATTTTATATAAATTATTTATAAAATAAAAATAATTCTAAATATTTAATTACGATATAAAAAACTATTCATTATATATTATGACAATTAAGTATATGATAATTTATTAAAGTAATAATTATACTGTAAATAATGAAAGACAATAATTAGTTTTTATGTAAATAATTTGTGTGAAACTTGTGTTGTATTATCATCTGTTAAAATTTTTTTTAAAAAATTAGATATATATCTGTATTCATAAAATTCAGTTTTCAATAAAGCAAAAAAAATTAATTTTAATAATATATATTTTACTTTATACTTATAAACAATGTCAGCTAAATTAACAAATAATTTTAAAATTAAAGCACATTTTATTGGATTATTGTTAACACCGAAACAAAATCGTGATATTCTTGTCAATAATGGTTTAGAAGATTTTGAAAATTTTTTATCTAAATATTTGATTTTAATTTCACCCACTTTTGATGACTATGCTATTGGGAACAGACCTCGACGTAGGATTGTCCGCAAACTAATAATATTGTTTGTGTGTGTAATGAATTGTCTCAGATATGGTATATCTGGATCAGTCAAAGATGTCAATATTCAGGCTTTCTTTAGTGATTCTAATGCTTTGATGGGTAATCAAAGTCTTATATCGTTAATGATATCGTTGTTTGCATTTAATGTATCCATATATTTATTAATTGTTATTTTCTGGTACGACATTAATGGCAAGTTATTTGTAATTAATTTTTTGAATGATATTAAACGAGAAAAAGTTATTTTTCCATTAAATAATATTTTAAGTCATAAATACCAATTGTATGCAAACATTTACGGCAAACACGTTATGCGACCGCTATTTTATTTGATGACATTTTGTTGTTCAATAATTTTTATCATATCATCATTTATTGCTTACTTTTTGTGTCCAGAAATGCAATTTTCATTAATAAATGTCATCATTTGGAACAGCATATGGTTGTTATGGGTGGCCATCGAGTTCTCCTATTTTATGGCATTCTTCGGCTTTCTTTACTTATCAACTCTTTATTGTCGCTATCAATTCAAACAAATAAATCAATCCATTGATAAATGTGTCCGATCATCGGTTTTAAACATTTGTCAATTCAACCAATTAATCAAATATCATCATTTGGTGACAATTAATATAAAACAATTGAATCACTTTATCAAACACATACTATTTATGGTATACTATATGTTTACACCAGCAATAAGTATGGTATTGTTTATGGTGATCGACAAGAACAGCAACAACTATTACAGAGCTGTCTATTCATTGGCCATAATATTCTTGTTTAGCGTATCCCTCGTCACTAATATGATCTGTGGATCACTTCACAAGTGTAGCCATCAGTCGTTGGCAATGCTTTACATGATATTAGTTAGACAACGATTGTCATTGTTTARCAAATTGAAAATATTATCATTTATCGAGAAATTATCTGCAAATGAAATTGCATTTTATATAATGAATTTATTTCCTATGAATAACAGATGTTTTGCTAAATATATAATTAATTTTATATTATATTTTATTTTATTTGTTAGCACATTTAAACTAATTTAAACTAATTTATTAATCTATATTTTAATTTAAATATAAATAGTTAATAAAAAATATTTGTAAATAAACTAAATCAATATTTTTGCATTAAATTTATTTATTAACTCTTTTAATCGATAAAACAATAAAAAATATTTTTTAAATACCGTAATGACATAAATTGTGATACAAATATTTAAAAGTCTGAATTGTTTAATAAGATAAATACAGGAAATAATTTAGCTGTTAATTAAAAATAAATAATTACCGGTAATGTGTAATAATAAAACAGATATGATTTTACAGATAAAGCAATTATTTATGATAGAGTTTGTCAAACATTGCAAAGAATGGATGACTTAATCCATGAGTGACTCGGATGTGATCTTTGATAAGTTTATACCAATACTTAAGCAATGGTTTGGTAGCCTTTTGTGAATATTGTGAAAAAAGTATAAAATTGTTTACAATAGTTGAAGTAATGTATGGATGATATTCGCCAAATATAAGCTGCAATTGAACCATGAATTGTGTGTCCATTTCATAGTTACGGTGAACAAGTCGTGCAATACGGGAATCGCTAATAGTTTCCCAGAGATTCACGTGTTTGTCATGCATTTCATCGTATTTATTATAATCGATATCTTTATCCAAATTGAGTCGACACTTATGACACTCACAATCATAACCAAAATTATCCATTAATTGTTTCTTTCGTTTCTTCTTATTTTGATTGATACTAATCCTGGATCTCGTAATCTCTTCGCCAATTGCTATGTCTTTAATGGCTCGAACTTCAAATGTAAGACCTGTTTGTCATTAAATAAATAATGATAATTGTAATCCAAATATCATATCATATTATATCAAATCAAACCATTAGATATCATTGCAGTGTTTGGGAAACACGAGTGTTGAAAGTCATTGATTCCAATAGTGATACCACAAGCTATGGGTTTATCCGAATCGTTATTCATTATGTCGTTTGGATTATCTGTATAATAGACACTTCCAGATGTCATTCGCAACTCAAGAAATGCGTACCAAAACACCATTTCTTGTATATCACTATCGATTTCCAACAATTCAAAGAGTGTTCGCAATAAATTCAATTTAACTGTATTTTTCCTATCTTTGGCCACTTTGTCGACATCAATGTCCATATCTTTAATTCTAAGATCTGTTCGGTCATATGTCTGATGTTGTTCTTCAATAAAATGTGGATTAGATTTGCTGTAAAGACATAGACGAAGAATAAGATGGTCGACGACATCAATGGCTTTCTTGTGGTAAAGTGCGGCAAATGTCTGGCCAAACATCACTCGACACTCCTTTTTGTGGCCATTATTCCAGTCATTCATTTGACAACTTTGATCGCAATAAAACATTAGATGACATTTGGCGCACCTCTTCAGTTGATTGGATAGTTTGAGACAATTGTCACAATGTTTTCCTTTATAGTCGTAATGAAGACAATGTATTCGTGATTTAATTTCAAAGACAACGTCTCCCGGAATATAACATTGCTTTGAGATAACAGGCATTTCAATGGATGATAATGTCTTTGCAATGGATGATAAAGACTAATTAATTGATGACAATTGCATGAAATGTCAGTTAAGTTACATCTTATAACACAAATTGTATGGAAAATAGTCATCAATTTGGAAGACTATCTTAAAACTCGACGAATTGAGACTATTGTTAGTTTATATTAAATATCTKGTAAACCATACATTCAATTTAAAAATGATCAAGGACATAATTGTAGATAATATTAAACTCAACATTATTGTAATTGGTCATTTTTTGATTAATTGTAAATCCAATTAGATAATAGTCAACTATTCTATCTCAATGTTATTATCATATCTAATTTGATTTACAATTAATAAAAAAATGACCAATTACAATAATGWTGAGTTTAATATTATCTATAATTATGTCCTTGATCATTTTTAAATTCAATGTATGGTTTACAAGATATTTAATATAAACTAACAATAGTCTCAATTCGTCGAGTTTTAAGATAGTCTTCCAAATTGATGACTATTAATACCTTCACTATTACTTTGTGTACACACAGTATACTAAATACAATATAAATACAGTTTACTAAACACGTGGTTATTGTAACATAAATGCCATTACATTATTATATTCATTGATTTATCATATAATGAATAAAGTATTGAATTTTAATTTAATAATAAATTTTGTTTTGGTTTAACCTCTTATTTSTAACCAAAAGTGACATTTGCGAGAAATCTGTGGTTTAATTGTGTTAAGCTTTACCAAAGTTTTGCATTGTTTAGAAGTTACAAGACTTAAGGCCCGTTTTAATTAAATTAAATCATAAATTGTTTGTTTATTATAAATACTATATTTTGTAGTTTAAAAAGTTAACATCATATGCAAGTGTCACTACAGTATGTACGTTATGTGTAGTACACACACAAAGCATACCACTCCTATGTGGGGTTCGGTAATGAGGGTCGCCTACTGTGCTTTATATACTGTATGTATGTAATACATACTATGTATATATTACCGTAATATTGTAATAATACAGTATTATAGTAAATAATTTAAGTATTATTTAATAAATTGTCGACATTTGCGACAATCAATAATAACTGAATCAATCTTTTGTATGCATTCAACATTACCGGTAATTATAATTAACAATTACCGTTATATTTAAACAATTGAGTAAATATAAAAAAATTAAAAATATAGAGATAATGTCTAATTATTTTCAATATTAGGAACTATTAAAAATTTAATCATTTCAATAAATTGTTACTTTTAATACACGGTTACATAAATAGCAAATGTAAATGAAATTACAATATAATTCAATCAATTATCAAATTCAGTGATTTTAAAAACTTTTGTAAACATTTCATACAATGGATGTCCTAATCCATGTGTAATCTCAATGTGTTCAATGATACGATTGTACCAAAGTATAAGCAATGGTTTGGTTGACAAATGAGAATATTTTGCATAAATTAGATAACTGTTGACCATTGATGTCGTTATGAAAGGATGGTATTCACCGAAAATCAGTTGCATTTGTAATAAAAAACTCGAATCCATTTCAAACTTTTGGTTCAATCTTTCGGCCGTTTTGTAGTTATTCGCAGAATTCCATTGTTTTTTGTGATCAATCAATAACTCGTTGTACTTCTTATAGTCCAAGTCTTTGTCCAAATGATAGAGACATCGATAACAATGACATTCAGTCCAAAACCTTTCTCCCAATTCTTGTTTCCGATAACTTCTTCTCTTATCGATTTCAATCCTATTTATAGTGATTTCTTCGCCAATCATTATCTTATTCATGGCTCGCACTTCAATGTTAAGATCTAATTAAAATATATATCATATAATTAAAACATTTTAATAATAAACAATTTTCTTTACTATTTGTAACTATGGCTGCATTGGCAACACATGAGTGCTTAAAATCGCTGATCCCAAGAGTGACAGTTAAAGCAATGGGCGGTCTGTTAAGACATCGATTCAACTCAAATACATTTTCGCTTAAGTACTGAATCGGATACAATAGTTTCATCCGAAGACATGCATACCATCGATGAAGATCATTGATATCATAGCTTTCTTTTAAATATTTTAATCTTCCAGTGATTGCCATGAATTCTGTCACTCGTTTGGCATCTTTTGAAAACCTTTGGAAATCTACTTCAATGTCTTTTAGTCTAATCTTTGATCCATTGTATGTTTCAACATAATTGTTGACAAACTGTGTATTGGATTCAACGCAATGATAGAGACGAATCAAAAGTCTGGTAAATGAATCCATTTTTATATCAAAGCTCTTGTTGGCCATCACTCGACACTCGCCGTTGTGACCATTAGTCCAATCATTTATCCGACAGTCTTCTGAACAATAAAACATTTTCCCGCATCTGTCGCACGTCAACAACTGATCCGCCCGTTTCAGACAATTGTCACAATGTTTGGCCTTAACATCACTATGAAGACTGTGAACAAGTGGTTTACATCTCAAGATGACATCTCCAGCATTATATGACTCTTTGGCAGTGATAGTCATTGTTGTCTTTGTTGTCATCATTATTATCATATCATTCATACCATTCATTCAACTTTTATACCATTTATTACAATCATTGCAATCAAACCAATCAAATCATACAAATTCAATCACTTTTCACTAATAATACATTTATCACACAAATAATGTCTATAAATGTAATATAACTTTATATCAATTGACACTTAAAGGGTTGTAAAGTATATGTCGTTATGTATGACAACAACTATTGTTTAACATTATGTATCAATAATACCTATGGATCGCAAACTTATTGTAAGTCTATCTCTCAAAACTTTTCAACACTTTTTTTTATATTACTTGTATATAAAGTTTATAATACTATTGCATTCAATAGTAGTTTTCAATTATTTATTATACGGTATATTAATATACAGTACATTCAATCAATTATTCGCTGTATATATACTTAACTATACATTTAATCCTTTAACACAACTTTAATTTATCCAAATTTTATAATTATTATACAAGTATTATATAATATATTAATACATTTTTTTTGTATTTCACACTATTATCTATTAATTTTGATCAATTATGACAAATTAGYACATTATATTTAAGTATTTGACAAAGTTTTTAATAATATACAATACATATTATAATTTTTAAATAATTGAATGTTAATGACATATAAATAATTTATGCAATCATATTATAAATGAATTGAAATTTTTGAATATTTCTTAAAAAGATGTGATTTAGTGGATGGTCGACACCGTGAGTGACTCGAGTGTGTCKGATAACCATTTGGTGATAATCCATAATCAATGGCATTAGTCTACTATTAGGTATTTCATAAATTTTAGCCCAAAAATGTATATATATTATGTGATCCAAAAGAGATAAAGTTAGCAATGGATGATAATTGCCATAAATGCGAGAATAGAGAGAAATGAGACGATCAGACAATATCTTTATAGGAGATCTCGACTTCAAACGTGAAACAGTGTCTCTAACTTCTTCTATAATGATTTCATCAATTATTGAGTAATTGATATTTATGTCCAAATGTTGTTCACATTTTGGACATTTACAGCCATTGAAACCAAATTTTKTGTCCAAAATGAAGTGTCGCATCGGTTTATTTCGCTCAAGACTTATATAACTTACTGTTATTTCTTCTCCGACATCAATGTCTTTCAAAGCCCTCAATTCAATCGAAAGTCCTAACAATTGATAAAATAAACTATATTTATATCATATATAAACTTAATAATTATGATTACCATTGTTAACGACGGCTGAATTTGGCAGACATGAGTGACTCAAAGACGATAATTGAGGACAAAAAGCGAAACCAAAAGTAAAGACAATACCATTATCGTAACAAATAAGGTTAACAAGTGATGGATTCATACAAACTAAAGCAACACTTTTAACAAGACTTTTGCGATCACATTGAATGCCAATCAGTCTTAAGATGTTTTGTATGCCATTAAACATTATATTTCGTGAAAATTGTTGACGAAATATCTTTTTGTTAATCTTAATATCGTTTATTGTTATGTTTGATTCGTCCAACAATTGAATCACTTGTGAACTAAATTCAGGACATCTTTGGTACCGAAGATAAAATCGAAGAGCAAGAAGTTTGGACGTCGATAATGACATAAGAAATACATAGTTGTTGTCAGACATGTATCCACACTCATACTTATGGTATGACTTCCAGTCCTGCTTTTGGCACTGTTTGTCGCAATAATTCATTTGAAGACATGCCTTACATTTCTTCAAATTGGTTGATGGTTTGAGACAATTATCACAAAAATCGCCTTTAAATTCATTGTTCACAATGTGAGCAATGGGTTTAAATTCTTGAATGACATCACCCGTAATAAAAACTTTTGGAGATTTTAATGGCATTATGTAATTATCTATCAAATGCTTTTAATTTATTTATGTTTTGTCTTATTTATAGTAAATTAACCGGAAGTGCTTTGAGATCTCACTTATGGTGTAATCTTTATCGGCATTATTGATGTCTCTATCAATAGTTTCCGACAAAAGTTTATGATTTCAAGTTTATTACCATATCGTATATGTATTGATACATATACTGTACATACTTAACATATACAGTAGTAAACTGTGATAAATAAAATGGATATTTTTGCTAAATTAGTTAATTTTTCAATAGTTTTATAAATATAAATTTAAAACTAATAATTAAATTTAAACAATTTATAATTGACTAAACAATCAATGTATAAATTGATATTTATCTAGTCATTTGTTAATAATAGTGAAAATAACTAAATTGTCTCAATTAACTAATTGTTTAATAAACTAAGCAATTTGTTTAATAAAGTAATTGAAATTTGTATGAAATCATTCAAATAATATAATCTTATATGAAAAGTAAGAGTCAATGACTAAACAATATTTATTAAGAAATTCAATTATTTTGTAATGTTTTCACTGAAGACCCAAACAATAAAACACTTTTGAATTTTATTTGTCATTTAAGTCTCCAAATGTATTGAATAAATAAATATTAAGTATTGACACAAAATCGGCGCCTTTTGAAGGTTTGCCGACAATAGACTCAATTGTCAGTATTTGAAAACTAACCAAACCGTTAATATTTTGTTATATTTACAAATAAGATTGAATCCGATAAACTAAAACTATTTTTTATTTTATAGTTTTAACAAAACCAAACCGTTTATGTTATCCTCTAAAATAATGTCTRCAATTAAGACATCAATGTTTGCGCCAAACAATTGCATATTTGATAATAGATTTGATGTTACATTATATTTGAGTAAAGTATATGTGAAGACTAGGGTTGGAAAAATACAAGGTTTTGAATTTTGACTTTATAATACAATAAAATACAATGTACAAATTACAATGTACATTATTCAATGTATTAGTATTATACAAATTTTAAAACTAATATACTGTATATTATGTTAAAAATTACTTAAAAATATTTASTGAAAATATAATTTCTAGAAAATGCATTATTATTATAATCCTTATTTCTAAGTTATAATAATCAAATAATTTAAAATAAAAAATGAAATTCAATAAAAAATAATATTAAATCTATATTTATTATAAAACATGATTTACTTTGTTTATATCAATGCTTTTAACATTAGGTGGTACTAAAAAAWATAATCCAAATTWGGTCATGTATTTTACATTTTATTATTTGTATTATACAAACATTTTGTCTCTGCCAACACTAGTGAAGACACTTTGTCGACAACAAAATTAAAGCATTGCTTCAAATAACTAACAATTTATGAAATATTGATTAATTGATTGTTATTTATAAACTAAATGCCATTAATAACACCAAAAGACTTAACCGCCGGTCAAATCATTTATGATATCAAACCTGTGGCTCATATCGTATGTCAAGAATTTAAGAACAAATTCTGTGACAATTGTCTCAAACGATCGGATGGTTTGTTGAAATGCAAAATATGTGGACAAATGTATTATTGCGGTAAAGAGTGTCAAAAACAGGATTSGAAGACATACCACAAGAATGAATGCCAACATTTGGCAAATAAGAAGTTCAATTCTAAACATTTCTTAGACGAAGAGATGCTCTTTCTTCGTATTTATCTTCGGCTCAAAACTTGTGATTCATTTGCTATCAAGAAGTATGACTTGTTTGACGGCTCACAGATGTGTTTAAACGACATTGAGTTTGATGAAGAGGTCATTAAAAAAGACACCGAAAGGATGGAAGAGTTTGGACGAGTTTGTTCTCACATGAGATCAATTGGCATCAAATGCGATGATAAACGACTTCTTCATTGGTTTGGATGTCTKTCTAGTAATCCATCGCATGTCGGACTTAAATGGTATGGAAAAGACCCGAAAGATTATGATTTGGTTTCAGAGATAATTTGTCGCGCATTTTGTCCACAATTATCATCACTAAAGCACTCATGTCTGCCAAATGCAGCCCACGTTACCAATGGTATGATTTGTTATATTATTATTATATATCTACTACAGTATGATATWGTGTAATAAATTGAATATTTCTTGTATTATCCATTAATTCATTAATAGGTTTATCACTTCAATTGAGAGCTATTAAAGACATGAATAAAAGCGATGAAATAACCATTAGTTATATTCGTTTGGATCAAAATAAAGACAAACGACTTATGCAATTGAAGACTGATTTTTATATGCAGAAGTGTCAGTGTCTCAAATGCGATCAAAACTTAGATAAAACTGTTAATTATGAAGCATTTGATGACATAATTAAGAGAGAATTGAGTCAATTTGCAACATTCACACCATCTGATCCAAAAACATGGATTCAATTACAATCTCTATCTGAAAGAGTCATTCCTCTCTATTGTATGGTTTACGGTGATTATCACCCATTTCTGACGGCAACTCTTATGGAGTGTTCAATGGCTACATATATGACGGCAAAGATTGCACACAAATCAGCGCACAAATGGAAACCATTGCTTCTCGAGTACTATCGTCTCGTGGATCAGCACTTGAAGGTGACTCACGGTATCGATCATCCATTGTATGACATCTTTTATTCTTCTTTTGTTAAAATGTAATCATTTCATAAATTTATAATTCATATAAAAATCTTGATTTACGGTAATTATTATAAATTATAGTTATCGGTATTTAATATTTAAATTTTCTATAATTATTTGAATCATTAATAATGTGAAATACAAAAAAAATGTTATACTAAATGCTTTTTAAAAATGTATTAATATATTATATAATACTTGTATAATAATTATAAAATTTGGATAAATTAAAGTTGTGTTAAAGGATTAAATGTATAGTTAAGTATATATACAGCGAATAATTGATTGAATGTACTGTATATTAATATACCGTATAATAAATAATTGAAAACTACTATTGAATGCTAAACTGTATTATAAACTTTATATACAAGTAATATAAAAAAAAGTGTTGAAAAGTTTTGAGAGATAGACTTACAATAAGTTTGCGATCCATAGGTATTATTGATACATAATGTTAAACAATAGTTGTTGTCATACATAACGACATATACTTTACAACCCTTTAAGTGTCAATTGATATAAAGTTATATTACATTTATAGACATTATTTGTGTGATAAATGTATTATTAGTGAAAAGTGATTGAATTTGTATGATTTGATTGGTTTGATTGCAATGATTGTAATAAATGGTATAAAAGTTGAATGAATGGTATGAATGATATGATAATAATAATGACAACAAAGACAACAATGACTATCACTGCCAAAGAGTCATATAATGCTGGAGATGTCATCTTGAGATGTAAACCACTCGTTCACAGTCTTCATAGTGATGTTAAGGCCAAACATTGTGACAATTGTCTGAAACGGACGGATCAGTTGTTGACGTGCGACAGATGCGGGAAAATGTTTTATTGTTCAGAAGACTGTCGGATAAATGATTGGACTAATGGTCACAACGGCGAGTGTCGAGTGATGGCCAACAAGAGCTTTGATATAAAAATGGATTCATTTACCAGACTTTTGATTCGTCTCTATCATTGCGTTGAATCCAATACACAGTTTGTCAACAATTATGTTGAAACATACAATGGATCAAAGATTAGACTAAAAGATATTGAAGTAGATTTCCAAAGGTTTTCAAAAGATGCCAAACGAGTGACAGAATTCATGGCAATCACTGGAAGATTAAAATATTTAAAAGAAAGCTATGATATCAATGATCTTCATCGATGGTATGCATGTCTTCGGATGAAACTATTGTATCCGATTCAGTACTTAAGCGAAAATGTATTTGAGTTGAATCGATGTCTTAACAGACCGCCCATTGCTTTAACTGTCACTCTTGGGATCAGCGATTTTAAGCACTCATGTGTTGCCAATGCAGCCATAGTTACAAATAGTAAAGAAAATTGTTTATTATTAAAATGTTTTAATTATATGATATATATTTTAATTAGATCTTAACATTGAAGTGCGAGCCATGAATAATATAATGATTGGCGAAGAAATCACTATAAATAGGATTGAAATCGATAAGAGAAGAAGTTATCGGAAACAAGAATTGGGAGAAAGGTTTTGGACTGAATGTCATTGTTATCGATGTCTCTATCATTTGGACAAAGACTTGGACTATAAGAAGTACAACGAGTTATTGATTGATCACAAAAAACAATGGAATTCTGCGAATAACTACAAAACGGCCGAAAGATTGAACCAAAAGTTTGAAATGGATTCGAGTTTTTTATTACAAATGCAACTGATTTTCGGTGAATACCATCCTTTCATAACGACATCAATGGTCAACAGTTATCTAATTTATGCAAAATATTCTCATTTGTCAACCAAACCATTGCTTATACTTTGGTACAATCGTATCATTGAACACATTGAGATTACACATGGATTAGGACATCCATTGTATGAAATGTTTACAAAAGTTTTTAAAATCACTGAATTTGATAATTGATTGAATTATATTGTAATTTCATTTACATTTGCTATTTATGTAACCGTGTATTAAAAGTAACAATTTATTGAAATAATTAAATTTTTAATAGTTCCTAATATTGAAAATAATTAAACATTATCTCTATATTTTTAATTTTTTTATATTTACTCAATTGTTTAAATATACCGGTAATTGTTAATTATAATTACCGGTAATGTTGAATGCATACAAAAGATTGATTCAGTTATTATTGATTGTCGCAAATGTCGACAATTTATTAAATAATACTTAAATTATTTACTATAATACTGTATTATTACAATATTACGGTAATATATACATAGTATGTATTACATACAGTATATAAAGCACAGTAGGCGACCCTCATTACCGAACCCCACATAGGAGTGGTATGCTTTGTGTGTGTACTACACATAACGTACATACTGTAGTGACACTTGCATATGATGTTAACTTTTTAAACTACAAAATATAGTATTTATAATAAACAAACAATTTATGATTTAATTTAATTAAAACGGGCCTTAAGTCTTGTAACTTCTAAACAATGCAAAACTTTGGTAAAGTTAAAAAAACTTAATTTTTTTATATTTACTCAATTGTTTAAATATACCGGTAATGTAATGTACAGGTATTTCTAATACAGTAAATACTTAATAATTAAATATAAGCACAAAATCATTTACAAACAAATAAAAAATTAATACAGTTTATTATACGATTGCTTTTATACTATTAATTAAATGATGAAACAATCGTATAATAAAATGTATTAATTTTTTGTTTGTTTGTAAATGATTTTGTGCTTAAATTATATTAATTATGCACTAAATAGTTATAAGTTATACTGTACAGTATGTGTATATGTATGATATTTTTAGTGTTTTTTAGAAATACATTATATTTAATAATAATTATTATAATTTATGAATAAATAAATGTTTAAATTATTGGTCGATAATATAAATTTTATTATCATTATTTTATTATAAAAATATTAAAACATTTTATCTTTACATATATTCATAAAGACATTAACACATTTAATAACAAATATTACAATATAAATCTGAAATCAAAAGTAAACTATTAATTAAAATTTACAAAATAATATTAAAAACAATAATTTATTTATCAAATAAATCTTTCAAAATATTTGAGGCATTTGTGGTCCAATATTAAAATTTTCATATAATGTTAAAATTGACTAAAAATATAAATTACAGTTTGAATAAACAGTTAATTGATTTAATAAATAAATAGAAATGAAGAGATCAATTAAATTGTAGATAAAAATTGAAAAATAAATGTCACAATTAATAGTTAATCAATTTGTTTCAATTTAGTTCATTAATATCATTACAAATGCAATTGAGATTAAAATATATTTTTTCATAAATTAATTGTTAATTTTATTATTTCATTTATAGTGATGACTAGATCTCATTTGACCACTTAGTTGACCACTCATTTGACCGCCGGTTCGGTCATAAATTAAACCGCTTTGTGAGTTAGCGGCAAATAGTTTAACGGTTTGCGGTTCACTCTCAAACCGTACAACTGATGTCCTCCAGTGATGTCCAACATTTGAGGACTCGGTATCACAACTGGTCTCTTGTTGTACAGTTGCTGTCAAATATCAATGAAATGTTGGAAACATATATTAGTAATTATTTATATAATTTAAAATCATTCAAATTAATTGATTACTCGGATATTGATATATATGAACATCAGACCGGAGCTGACGGGGTGTCCGCTTAACGGTTGCGTATATAGCGTCGTGATCTGCATTGTACTGTTGATTGTGTTGTTGTTGTTGTTGTTGTGGACAATAATATTTGAATCATAGATATTTAGGACAAAAAAAAAGACATTAATAAAAGAGATTTAGTTAGTGAGTGCTTATTAGAGATAAATGTTTCCACAAATTGTTATAAAGTGGCTCTTAATGGAAGTGTTGGGTTTCAAGACAACCAACACAACAACACTAATAGTCTAGTTGTCAAACATATAAGGTATTTATATATTGTATATATTTGTGTTAAGAGATGTTCAGTGGAGGGGTTATGAGGGGATGGAAAGTGTGGGCCAAAAATAATCAAATAAAGAAATGCAATACCGATTTAAGTGGCGACTGGCGTGACATCGAGTTTAGTGGCACTCGTTCTTCATTATCACCCATTTTGGTCATAGCGTACGGCACAGGATAGTGAGCTGCCATGCCTTGAGTGCAGACGTCCTCCAAAGGCAGTGACATTTTCTTTACATGACTGGCGTCCAGTTCCGTCAAATTGACACTTTCTGTACAGTCCTGATGCGACACTTTGTTTGGACTATAATTTGCTAAACATTTCAATTTATATAATTTCATTAAATTTTTATTTATTTAAACAATTTTCAAAGCAATCAATGTTAGTATAATTGGTATTGATTTGTATTGACATTCGTAACATAAAATAATATCATTATCRGAAGCTTACAGTATATATTAGATCCATGTCTTGGCTTTCGCGTAAATATCACATAAACCAGCGATAAGAGTACTATCACAACAACTAACGATACTATTGAGGGGACGACTACCAGAACATCGGCATAGAAGGGCACAGACGGTGCAGACTTACTGCTTGACAATACTCCCGGTTCATCGTCTATGGAGGTAATCATTGAAAGCATAAAAAGTTATATAAATGTATAGATATATAGATATAGATATACTGTACTGTMATTTAATTATATTTAAATATTCAATAAAATTGTTTGAAACCTTGCAATTGAATGGAATTAGTGGCAAATGTGTACTGGGCTTCAGTACTTCCGGCCTCATTGAATGATGTTATCTTAATGTCATACGAAGTCGATGGCATCAAATCGCTTAATACAATCTGTTTTTGATCGGTAAAAGCCCGGTTCGATAGTGATATCCATTTACGACTTTTTTGTGATTTGTACATCACTTCAAAGTTTGTTACCGGACACCCACCTATTAATTACAATTATATTAATTAATTTTTAAATCTTTCAAAAATGTTTAGTTAGATGTGATACCATCGTGAAAGGCATCCAAGTATATGATGGCAGTAGTGGTGTTAACGCTGAGCAATGAGTTCTTATCGGGTGCTACCGGTGCTGTATTAATAGGTAAAACAAACATTAATTTTTATTAAATATTATCACTATTTGTTTAAACATAAGATTATATTACAGATTATATTTGACTTTCTTTTGCTTATATAATAATTACTGCATAACACATAACACTTATTGACAATAAAATTTTAAACTCCGAAATTGATATTTTGTTTGTTTTGCTTAATAAAACTGCAATAATGACCAAAACTTATAAATAACTCAATTGAAGATTATGTTTAGATTGGTCTTAAAATTCAATTTCAAGTCTTTTTCCCAAATAATTTTATTTTCATTGTATTGCTATTATTATTAACATTTGATGACTTGAGACTTATCTTATTTTATAAAATATATATTATGTTTGTATTTGATATCATTGAAAAACATTTTGTTTCGAGTCATTTGTTTTAACATAGAGTTGACATTAAAACACATTTTGAAAACACACAATGATTTTGGTTTAAAAAGTTACTTATATTTTTATTTGATGGCCAACTATAAGTAAAATTTCAATAAAAATTGACAATAAATCTAATCATTTTCCATTAGATTCAAATATATTTCTTATAAAATTGAAAAATAAACTTAGTATTATTATAATTATATTTAATACAAATCTTATTAAAATAATATATTAATTGACTAAATTATTGAATTTTTRAAAAATTTATAATACTATTATTAAAAAGTTGATATAAAAACTAAACAAAAATTCATTGAATGTCAATTCAGTATATGTGATAAGTTATTAGTCTTTAAAATATACAATAAAATTTTATTTGAATTATTGGTCTCAAGAGTGCTATAATAAAAGCTTAAAAATTTAATGTTGAGCCTAACTTTTAAGTAACAGTTTATCTATAACTTTTAAAAACCCTATAGATTTCTCTAAAAGTATTTTTGATATTCTCTCATGAATTATATTAAACAATATAAATCATTACATTGAATAAGTATATTCTGCGGCAATTATAAAATTAGAGTTTAAATACATTAAAAAGTATAACTGTTTTATATAAACTTTAATATATTATGAGTTTTATGAATTATATAAGAAAGTCTAGACAACAATCCATTAAATAGCAAAATAACAAATAAAAACTAAATTAATATCAAAATTTTATGTAAAGTGAGTTAAGGAAATCACAAATAAAATAAGATTGATTTACATCTAATATCTATAGTATTGTTATTAATATTAATTTCATTACAATTATAAAAGATAAATTTAATAAATAAATGACTCAGAAATGGACAAAAAAAAAGAGATAGAAATATATATTGTATATAAATAAATGAAAATAAATTTATTGAATTGGGATTACAAATGACAATAATGAGTACATACTTGAGCCGTCAGTCTTTGCCGACACAATACTTGAGGCATCGCTTTTGCCGATAGAGTTGTAGGCAATTATGTAGTATTGATATCTTGTGCCACATTTGAGCCATTGGTGAGCGTAGGTCTTAGTGTCGGCTAATCTTAGTTCATCCCAATCCTGTGACTCTCGTTTGTGATATAAAATAAATCCTACAAAACATTGCCAGTAATAATAATAATAATAATACTTATAATAACAACAATACGTATAATACAGTAGTATGTATTGTAATAATGAAAACAATTGTACAATTTTTGTAATAAAAATAATACAATCGTTGAAATACTATTTTTTATTTGATTACCAGTAAAATGATGTAATTTTTTCTTTTACTATTTGTCTATATATTTATTATACAGTATAACTTAAATGCATTATATTTGCAATCACTGCTAATAACTACAGAACTATTGATAATATATWTAATTCTATAATAAATGCAGATTTTACTAGTTTTGCAAATCGGTATTAGAGAGCACTGACCGGTGATTGGGGTCGAGTCGTCGGCAGTCATAATCCACGAGAGCTGTATTGAGTTGGTTGTGGCGCTCACCACACGTAGACTCGGTGTCGACGGAGGATCTGTTAATTGTAATTACAGTCATGTTTTTAGACACATTATGTAAATTATTTAAATATATCGAAACACTATTTGTTAAGATAATACACTAATACATTGACTAAATCTTTGTCAGCTATTTGCGACTCTCAACCAAATCATTAAAATTAATACCTTTCTCTTTCACTATAATAAAGTCCTAAATTTGGTTTAAATTGAAACATATACTCATTGATGTCTGTCTTACTTTTGTTTGTTTTTTTGAGAATCTAAACAAAAATTTGTGTCTCTTTTAACAAGAAGTGAAAATTAAATTTATATATATTGTTACACTTAGTGTCCATTTCACTGATGGTATATCTATTTAGGTTTTGTGCAGACATTTGCAGATAATCCTAATCTTTTCACTCATTGGTAGCGCAAGTCGTAAATCAAACTAATTAATGAATAAAAACAAAGTAATATTTTCTCCGTACGACTCAATAATTCAATTATAAAATGTGTTAAAATTTATTTKTCTACTCAAAACTGATGGTCTGTTTGTTTTAATAAAACTAAACTAAAACTATTGTATTGTTAGTTAAAACAGTAAATGTCAGTAAATGATTTTGCGATGCATTCAAATATAAATTAATGCACTGTTTGTTTGATATACACTGTATATAAATCTCCGAAAAGTTTTATCTCATGTGAAAACAGCCATAAATTTTATTGTAATCGTTATAATGCGTTAAAATATAACGGAAATTAAAATTTCGATTAATTCAATATTAAAATTATTGTCAGTGAGTGAAACAAATATAGTAAAATATAAGTAAAATATAATATACAGTATAACTCTAATATAATAATAGAGAATAATGTTTGATAAATCAGATTATTAAATATAGTTGTTTGACACAATAGCTGTCGTAATATTTAAATATTTGAAACTTATAAMACAAAATCAGAGAAAACATTGACAGCAGAAAATTTTCCCTTTCCTTGAATTTAATACAACTAAAAACAAATTTAATTTAATAAAACATTGCTTTAAATAAAAAAATAATACAAATCTGAATGGTATTCTTATATGTGAATACATTATATAAAATACAGTATCAATTGAAACAAAAATTGTGTTTAAATCTTATTGAAAAAATGTTTGCAAAATTGAATTCAGTTGTTGTGTATAATCGAGTGAAAAGAAGTTAAAAATTTTTGAATAAATAAAAAGTGAATTATTATTTTCTTTATATTTTAATAATAGTATAACAATAAGTTGGAGTAATTTATAATTATTTAACTGATTAAAAAAATTATAGTTAAAAGTCATACCCATTTCCAAAGTCTTAACAAACGTGGCCTCAGATGGAGGTCCGGCGCCTTTACTATTRTAAGACTGAACTATAATCTGGTATTTTGTGGATCGACTCAATTCATTGACAGTACATTCCTCAACAATTTCATCATTCTTTACGTCCAATGTTTTGAAAATAAAATCTTTGGTTGAAGTTTGAGATGAATCGGAATCAGTGGTTGAATCCGATATTTTGTATCCGACATAATAACCTCTTATTGTTCCGTATTGTAGGTCTTTCCTCGGAGGCTTCCAACTCACCTGAGAATCAATTGATTGATAAAATATATATCGTTTCAATCAATTATTCAAATCAATATCGCCTTAACTATATATATAAATATATATAAATATATATATGCTTTCTATTTGCTGCTGGTGTTTTTTAGCTTTTTTATTGAATTGAATTTAAATGTAATAACAAATATCAATATTTTTATTTTGTCTAAAAACTGTTGGTTCAGCAAAACTCAGTTAGTAGTACTGTATATAACAGTATAATACAGTTTAATATTATTAATATATGTGTTGTCGACTTCAATGAATAAGCAATGATTTCTAAACAAACTTCAGATATCAATATTGAATTTATGATTATTAGCTAAAATAAATCTATTATAAAAACTTTCTCTTTTCAAAAAATAACTTATATATTAAATTATCATTGGATTGAAAATAAAATTTTTAAAAATGCTAGACATTAAGTAAAATAAATTRACTGAAAATAATAGCTTTTATGTGTAAACATAAATTGAATTTTCAACAGTTATAATAGTTATCTTTTTAAAATTTTTAATATTAATAATCATTATGATAAATGAGTATTTTATATAATTTTAAAAAATAAATATTTATAATAAAAATCTAAAAAACATAAACTGYGTTTAACTACGTATGTGTATTTATTGGTCACTAAAATCTTAAACACTTAACAACATGTTTAGCATAAGTTATTATATGATACGATACTGTATTAATAAAAATCGATAACTGTTTTTATTTGCAAACCTTAATTGACTTTGAGCTGAGAGGTATGGCTTTGATATGTAGCGGTGGACCGCCTGGTGTTTCTTCAATAGTCTTAAGTGAAATCACTTGACTGGGCTCACTCTTTCCGAGACCGTTAATGGCAAACACCCTAATCTGATAGCTGGTAATGGGACGCAAACCACCGATCAGTACTGTTGTTTCCGATGCCGATACTGTTATGTTAGGCGTACGAGTTGTCCATTTATCTGAAAGGCATCAAAACAAACAAATATATTATATAAACTATATAAACATTTTTGCTTTTCATAAATGTTATTCACATTTAGTCTTTATAAAATTTGATGCAATTTTTCTCATAAAAAATGTCCTAAACTAAAAAAAATTATTTTTATATCTATTATATATTTGTAATACAATATATATACTATGATATATACACACATTAAATAAAGTACTGAAATATAAATTATATTTAATGAGAAAAAACGTTAAAAATGGGACAAATGAAAAATATAAAATATAATGAAAAATAATTTTTTATGTGTGATTGAAAAAAATTATGATGAATACCGGTGTCCAGTTTGTATTGAATCATATAATGAATAATAGGACTGTTCCCACTATAGGGTGGAGCCCAAGCTGTTCGGGCAGATCTTCCGTCGTGTTCTACAATCTTAAGATCTGACGGCGCATCCGGTGGCTCTACAATTAAAACAATTRTATTTAATAATCAATTTTTAATTATTATTAATTAATTAATTAATGACAAGTAATAAAAGTATAATTAGTTATTTGATTATAAATTCAAATGACTAATACCTTGCATAATAAGCTGAACATTGGTGTCGTCGTGTCCGTAGGCATTGCTTGTGACACAACTGAATAGAGCGCTGTCTCGTCGGTCAGCGTTTCGGATAACTATTTCCGATTTGAYGCCGTCGTTGACTATTACCTCAAGAAGTTCATAACGAGGATCATCTCTTGGATTAAATGTTATCTTATCTTTCATCCATGAAATAGTTATCGGTCTAAATAAATAGTAGATTAATATAATATCTTTCGACATTATTAACAATAATATAAATTAAAAAATTATAATTACTTATCGCCAATAGCTTCACATTTGATTCTGGCTTCCAGTCCTTTTCTAACGGTTTCGGCTCTAAATTTTGTCTCAAAATGTGCGGCAACTAAAAGATCAAAAAGTAATAAAATATTACTTTAAAAAATATTTTCTTTAAGTATAAAAACTGTGTATTTTGTCTTAAAAACAAATATCTAAAAAAAGTCAATTTCTATTTATATAAAATAAGGTATTAGTGAAAGCCTTGTCATTCACTATTTCTTTGCTTATCAATAATGACTATTGTTTGTTGTTTTTTCATACCATTGACAGTAAGTTTGATGACTTTGCTGAGTCCGGGACCAATACCATTGGTGGCCGCGCACATGTAGTATCCGGTATCGGCCTTTTGTGCGTTATGTATAGCCAGTGATCCATTTTCATATGGACGCAAGTGGGAATTGGATGTAATCGCCTTAAACTCATTGGGAGACTCTCTCAGTAATCCTATTGAATAATATGACAAACATATTGAAAGATTTAGATTTTTTGTTTCTTTTGTATTATCTTTTGTCTATATATTGCTGTTATCATACTATCTTTATTTGAACAATGTTWGAGCCAAACATGTATCTCATTTGTATTTATATATTTATACTATACGGTATAAATATAATACCATTTAGATATAAAATCGTTTTCATAAACAAAAATAGACTAAAGTTAAAATAAAAACACATCCCGATATCAGAATCTAAATCTAAAACATTGTAAAATGGATATTACTTTATGTCAAATATATTTTAAAATTTTTATTTATTATTTTTAGTTTCAATATAAATGAAAAAATATATAATATGTTTCATATTTAAATGTTAACATATTTTTCATATACCTATATTATATGTTCCGTTCTTTATATTTACATAACACTTTAAATATAAACAAACTTTAAATAATTGTAAAAATATTGAAAAAATTTCACTATTTCATSTTAATTAAATATTTATCAAATGAAAATGATAAAACTTAAAAAACAAATTGTTATTATAATGAGATACTCAATTATCAAAGTGGTCAACTAATGCTAAATTTAGAAAACATAGATATTGTTAGCTCAACATATTATTGTCCTAATTAGCCATTCATTCATTTTTATGTGTGATTGAATGTGAAATTTTAATTTAAACTCTAATTACTAAAATGTTTTCAATTAAATCGTTGTACATATAATTGAAAATCAACAAAAATGCATTGCAATGATTACATGCAGTTTTGTAACCAAAATGCAATAACATTGTTGTGCAGTGAAGTGGCTTTTAAAAAGCATAAAATCAAACAATGGTATGAATTGTCGGTTCATTTATTGTAATTAGTTTGTAAAAAACATTACAAGACTTTTTAAATTAAATTCATTTTAAATGCAATAGTTTTTATGTGTTTTTGCATTTTTTATATAGAAAAGTAATTAGATAATTAGTTAAAAATAACATTATCTTAATTTTTACTTTTGTATTCAGATAACAAAATAATTACATTAACTAAATATAATAACAATATAATAAATAAAATAATTAAATTATTTTGAAAGAGTATTATTAGATAAAATATTTGTTTAATATTCAAAGTTTTAAAAATATCATTTTTCATACAAGTTTTTATAAGATTTTATAAATATATAGTATATAAATTAGATACTAAAAATAAAATAAAATTGAGTTAATTTTAAATAAAAATCTATTATTTATATATTTATGCGTAACAATAACAACAACACCTAATTTATAGTATGTTTTAACATTTAATAGTAACAGACATTTTAAAAAATTGTTGAAAATTGTTGATAATAAATAAATAATTATAACACAGCATTTAAAAAGCAAATTTAAGTTACTGTAAATAATATAAAATCTTATCATTAAATAGCAATAGAAAAAAAGTGAAGTACTTTAGAAATAAAAACATGTCTGAATTCACATTTGAAAAAAATCAATTTAATTTTATTCATTTGCTATTCATATGAAATACAGACTACATTAACCATATGTTTGCTCACAATTTATATCAGTTGTTATTTTGATTATTGACTTCAAGTCTCTCCCTGTCCTTTATACTGTATATAAGCTTTACATAAAAGGCAAATATTTTTTAGGTTAACTTTATATTCATTTTGTATTCAAAAATTCTATTTTTATAGTTATTGTTATCGCTTTTTAAAAAAATATAAGTTTCAAACTATATTTAGCGGTCGAAAATATTTTTTTTATAAATAAAAMCTAATAATATTTAGAATATCTAAGTTATGAATACAATAACAATGTGTTTGAGAGATAGACTTACCATCAGCTCTGGACCAACTAATGGTCGGCGGAGGATAAGCATCGGTATCGCAATCAATAATAGCATTCCTTCCCTTTACAACTGACGTGTCGATGGGCTCTATTCTCCAACGCGGAGGAACTGTATGTGTGTTTTATAAATATTTTTTTAATAATAAAATTGAAATTTAAAATTTAATTTCATTCAAATTAAATAAAACCCTAAGCATTAGTTTAAATTTAAGTGAAAATGAAAAAATAATATATAAAATAAATATACCGTAGGTTTTAATATTAATATATAAATAAAAGATTATATAATTTTAAAAATGAAAGAATGCATTAATATTTAAGTCTAACTAATCTGCTGTAAAAAAGTTCATAACATCTCTTCATTTTCTCGCTTTCTCTTTACATTTAATTGGATTTTAAGACACAAAAAATTAAATCTAAAAGACGTGACTCTAATATTACATTTGGATTATAAGATGGTTTTAAGTCATGAAAAATAGTAAGAAAGGGAAAGAGAAATAAAAAAAATAGAGAGAAAGAGAGAAAGAGAAAGAGAGAGAGAGAGAGAGAGAGAGAGAGAGAGAGAGAGAGAGAGAGAGAGAGAGAGAGAGAGAGAGCTTGTATCTCATTAAAATTTGATTTATCAAAAGCCCTAAAAACGTTTAAAACAGAAAAAACAAATAAAAATAACAATTTTCACAAAAATCATCTATGTAATTTTTAAAATATAAAATTAGATCCTAACCGATAATTTAGAAATATATATAAAAAATGCTTATAAAAAACTAGTTGTATTAAACATTTTATTTTGTTTTAAAAATATTAAGTGGTATATATATAAATTTGCTTAGAAAATAATATTAATAATAATAATGTAAAGTACAGCCCATACCGTGTATAACCATTGAGGCACTATGACTGCTACTTCCAGCTGCGTTTGAGGCCACACATGTATAATTGCCTGTCCAGTTGTGAACAAAATAAATATGATATATATTATTATATAATATATAATCTATAGTATATAAATGCTGATATACAGTATACTATATATGTCACTTGTCATTTAGTTATTACATTTAGTAATAGTTTATAATAGCAAAAACATTTTGTTGTTAATATAATAATCAAAATGGTTTTGCAAATACTGTATAATAGAGAATATTGTATACAATGTTAATAAAACAGTAGTAATACCCCTGTGGTCTGGTTGTACCGACTCAAATGCCATATTCAATGAGTACTCCGTTACGTGAATTAAATTAGTTTTAAGTAAATATCCATTGGTTAGTTTGTGACCATCTTTAAACCATTCAATCTATAAAAATTACAATTATTATTATATAATATTTTAACATAAAATGTATAACATTTGAAAAGATAAAGATCAAAATCAATTTGTTTTAATCGATAGCAAACTAAAAAAAAGTAAACCAAAATAGTAGAAATAAAAAAGTTTTCACTACTATTTCAAGTATTTGTAATGACAATAATAAGTAATGATTTTTGAAACAATGCTAAGCGAAGGGAAATGGAGTGTATATAAGTCGGCAAATGAGAAATAGATACCTGAATTGGTTGATCGCCTTTGACAACAGTACACAACAAATTATATCGTTGTGATTGATGTAAGGATTTGGGAAAAACAAACGGTTCAATGACTGGCCGTACTGTTCACACAAGTAAAAGTGCCGTAAGTTTGGTTAGACATGATATAACATTTTATTAATCTTTAACAATAAGAAATATTAAAACTGACTTTATTGCTATTTTATATATAAAAACATTATCTATATATATGTATGTATATATTCAATTTAAAAATGTATTTTATTTGAATTAGATTTTCTATCCAAAAAATTTAGTAGTTTTAATGAAAAAAAACAATAAATTGATGTTTTATATGCCCATGTAATTGCTAACACCATTTGAATGTGTAAAAACAATTTGGGTGTTAAATAGGATGTAACACTAGTGCAGTACTAATAGGTTTACCCAATGAATAGTTGGGTGGCACTCACTAATTATAACGATTAAAACATTTTATTAATATATACTATATATCTAAATCATTATTGCTATTATTATATTACATAATGATTAAAATCAATTGCCATTACATAGTAAAAAGCAACTAAAAAATTAAGGCATTCATTAGGGAATTTAGAAATATATGAATTTCAGTGTATGAGTTATGAAAGCCTATTATTACTAATATTCTCATATTTTCCAGATAGCCTTTAATGGTTGTATTTGTTTTCACACATCAATTAACTTTTGGAGAAAAATATGGAAATATGAGTTTTAGGTGGGGGTCGACATCAAACATATTATATAAATTCATAGCGCAAATAGATAGAGAGCTCTTTAAATTAATAGACTTTTGTCTTATCTATTTGTGAACATATGGGCATATCGTTTACCTCAATGTTTGTTATGTGGCATAACATATAGTAGTTTATATCATATGTAATATATAAAACTAATAGCCCTTTTGCAAGTGCCTTATATAACACAATGAGTGTTAACGCCATTAATATATTGATATATCATATAAAGAACTCACAAAATGATAGTAAAAGTAAATGTTGAGGCGTTAACCATATATTAAATATTAATAAATAGCAATAAATGTTTTGGTTTTTAAATATTTATAATAAATATCATATCTTTACCCAATACTTGAACCGTTAGACTTCCCTGAGCTGACTTCGACTCTTTTGTTTGTCGAGCAATACAAGTATATCTGCCCTCATCGGTGGCTCTTTCGAGATCTACAACTGTTAGAGTGCCGTTTGGGAACACCTTTTGCCGGTGATTGTATGGCAGACGTACACCTTCTGTAAAGATTCATTCAATCAAATCATCAAATCATTACAAATGTGTTTATATACTGTATATAAGCAAAGTTTAAAACAAATTAATTTTATTGAAATATTAGTTAAAAATGCTGACAAAATATATTTGCTTTAAAAACAAAACTTTAGTAACTTATTAGTTAGAGAATGCTGTCAACCCTATTAAGTGCTATAATATAAAAAAAATTTCGCTGATTTGATACACTTGTCTGAACTGTTTATCTATGATATCAATAACAACACACAAATGTGATGAACAATGTATTATAGAAATCTGGAGTAAGATTATATACACTAAAAATTTGTAGCCAATTATGGCAACCGTTTAAATGTTTATTAAATGCAATTTTTGCCGACGGCTTCAATTGATTACATAAGTATAGTAAAGCCTATGTTTTGTTTGCCACTGTTTTGTTTAACTAACAACAAATCTCATGTCGTGTTAGAGGAGGACGTAAAACACAATTTGTATGTTATATCATATAATAGAAGCATAAGTGATGTCAAGTAGAAAATTGAGAGAAAAGTTTGCCCTAAAGTGTCATTTGCAGAGACATTGAGAGGTATAGGATCTGACAGTTAATAACAAGTTAGCAATCATCCAGTATTTCTCAAATTCACACACAAACACATATACACACAAATTGTATATTTCAATACTTGTATAATCAAAATATAATTTTTCCCCATTTTTTATACCCTTCCTGTATAGTTGACTCTCAGTACACATCATATATTGGCTTTATTTAAATTAATTTATGAGACAAACGTGTCGTTGAACTCAGCATACAATATATATATTAATGATGCGTAAACTAAACAACAAAATACATAACACTTTTATTATGACTATAAGTGAAAAAATTTGTGATTCAATAGCCAACTGCAATGACTGTCATATATATATATATATATATATATATATATGTATATATAAAAGAGTGGGAAAATAATGTAATGAATCGCTTCATAGGAAAGATGAAACAACAGTATAATGGATGGCAATGTATATCGAAATGAATAGTAACACATCTAAAGTATACTATACTACCAGTGCTTCACTAAGAAATGACATCCACTTATATGAAAGCGTTGATTGTATAAATAGGATGTAATTGAAGTGATGAAAGTAAAGTGCTTTTGCCAAACAAAAAATACTATAGTCTAGAGTCGAGACATAAATGCAAATCATTTGAAATCACTTTCTCAGCGTTTAATTAATACTATAAGCCCTGCAAATGACTAACTATTGTGTATATATTGATTATACTTAACACATGTCATTAAAGGCATGATATAAGACTTATAATAAAATATGGGAAACACTGGTGACACACATTTTGTCATTCATTTTATAGACATCAAGTACTATAGACTACCGTATATACAAAAATAATATATAAATGTTTTCAATAAAAGATGAAAAATATATATAAATATTTGTCGATCATATTTAACTTAACACTAAATAAGTTTTGTGAATATTAATGTTGTCGAGATTTTAGACATTACTAACTGAATGCACTGGTATTTACCTCTTTCCCAAATAATGAGATCAATAGGATATCCTCCAGTAGGACACGTCAATGACATCCTCTCTCCGGCCACAGCCGTCTTATTAGGCATCGGTCTAATGCTTGGCTTCCCGTAGATGTTAATCCTAGCGGTATGTGAAACACTGGTCACGTCATTGGCCGCCGAACACGTATATAATCCGCCATCTGTTCAGTGAATATAAGTATCCCATAAATAAGTGATTTGCAAAATCATCGTTTAGTGATTAGGAGTAATGCAAATACTGGTGCAAACTTACCCTCTGATGCTGTACTCGAGATATTTACATAACTTACAAGTAAACCCTCGCGAGTCACGTAATCACCGGTTCTGTACCGGGAATTGTCGGGCACTGGTATGCCATCATATAATTGCCACGTGACCTGTGGTATTGGATTTCCTGATGCAACACACTGTTTGGTCAAAATCAAAATAATAAAAAACAATTAATTATTTTTATTGTTTATACGTCATGTCGTTTTGATGTTAAAGTAATTCCCGGATCCGCTTTTAACACAGAAATTATTACAATTTTGATTAACAATTACATTTGATTTGACCTCCAAATGTTAATATTTCAATTGAGACTAATTTTACACTAATAGTTATCAGGTCTTTGACTTTATTATAAGTAAAGTTATAGTAAGTAATACAATACATCATAATTAAGACACATTGCTTTCATTTCTCTCAATGATTTTTTACTTTCATTACATAACATTTATATAATAATAAAATGTTTTATTATAATTGCATTAAATTCTTATTTATTATTAAATTTATGTTTTGACGTTCAGACAACTAACAATATACATGAAATTATATGAAAATAAATGTCATAAATAAGTGTCAAATAAAATAAAAAATTATTTTAAAACAATGCTATAAAATACTATATAATTAGCAATAAAAGAGAGTCAATGAAATCAAGTAATTGCTAGAAATAATACAGTATTTTAGGTAATTATTTAAAAGTTTTTAATTCTTAACGCTATCTAACACTCAAAATTCATATATTTATTATATCTTTATTTTTACTATTAATATAAATTAATCATTATTGTTGTTATAACAAAAATTATCCAGCATTAAGAGATTATAATAACATACAACAAATAAAAAATACATTTTTATATTTCTATTACAAGTCCTACTAAAGACAATTAAATTAAAATTTTAAATAATAATTTTAGTCAAATTAAGAGTTAATATATTTAATATAATATTATACTGTGATATAAAATAATATAGTATTATAATTGAGGAAAGTTTAGGGTATATTAAATAATGAAATATAAAAGCACAGGAAATCTGATGATAAGACATCTAATAATAAACATAAATGTTATACTATTGTATAGACTATAGTATTTTATAATTACTACTAAAAATAATTATTTTTGTTAATAGTAATTTAAGAAAAATAATAGTAATTTTAAGTAATATTTTTTTTAATAATATTATATTTATATCTAAATCATAAAATAATCTCTATAATTTTATTTTATTATAACTTATTATTAATGATTGATAATAAAACGCGATCAAGTAATCACTAAGATTATTAAGATATTTTATCTGAAATATAATACAATATTATTATACAGTACTATGTAATCATAAATATGATGACATTAACAACAATATTGGTATATATAAACAAAATGCTTAAATGATTATATCTAATAGTTTTATAACTTTTCGTGATTTAGAATATTTTGCGATTAATTTGTGGACAATCAGTGATTGTGTGTTTGTATGTATGTATGTATCCCTCACTTGTGTTATATTATAACAAATGAATAACAATAACAATACTTTTGTATTTATATTTTTTTTTGACTGCCTTTTTTGTCTGTGTTTTGTATTATTTTATTTGTTACAAAATCTCTCTTTTTTGTTACATTAAAATATCAATACAATAGTAATAGTGACACACAAAGACTTGCCATTGGTATAGCATTTAAAGAGATGTCTGTCTATAATCTCATTGTAAATGATTGCTAACGAGAAAAGCATTTTCTCGATTGCAATGCAAACTTCTACTAACTCTTCGAGTCATATGTTTGATTGTAAAGTCAAATAGAAATCCTATCAAAACTAAGGGAATGTCATGTAATGGGAAGGCAGACAAAGATAGGGAAAGAGAGAGAGAGAGAGAGAGAGACTATAAAAGCTGAATATATATTAAAAAACAAGACATATAACAATTGCCTGTGGGTTGAAATATATAATGTCATTTAAAATTAGTTACACAGCTTTGATTTAGCATTTAAATTAAGTTTGATTGACAAAACAAATAATCTAATTATAAAACTAATCTATAATTTGATTAAATTTAACGGCGTTTTTTAAAGTCAACATACCTTTAACGATAGTGATTGTCCCGGTTGTAGAGTTTGTTCAGAAAATGTCGACAAAAATACTGGTGCATCGTCTATAAAAGTAACACAATTTGAGTAATATATATAAATATCAGTATTTATCGATAAACTTTGGTATTAAGTGATAAATAAATTTTCGTAGCGATAGTATAATCAAATGATGGGTTATTTCGTGCAAAGAATTTTGATGAGATGTTTGAGAAAATTAGATAATGAAATGATATAGAAATAGACAGTTTGAATACATTGGACACATACCTCCCAAATCGATTTGTGCCGATGTCTGTACTGAATCAAAATCATTGTGAGTTAAGCACTGATACATCCCTTTGTCTCGTCGTTCAACGCTTGAAATGTGGAGCACATCTCTGGCCAGTAATCTGATCCTCGAGTTTATCACAATAGGCTGTCCATTGTGTAACCATTGAAGTGAAGCTACAGGAGTTCCCGTTGCAGTGCAGTTAAGTTGAGTACTCTTACCGACGTCTACTCTGTCCACCCGTGGATTTAGCTCAGCTGATAGTGGAGCTAATCAATGAAAATTAATTTTATATTAATTAATGCACAGTATTTAATAATGTATAATATAATAGTTCAATATTTAGTATAAAATAAATTTTATTTATTAAAAACTACTGTAAAACATAATGATTTCTTAAACAAAACTGATAGTTAATAAGTTTTGATAAATTTATGATTAATAAAATAATTGCAAAACTGCTGTCTTTTTATTAATAATATTCTTCAAATAAATGGACAAATTCTGTGTCGTGAATACGATTTCTATGAATAAATTGGCACATATTGTGTACTAATGATAACTATATCTATAATAGCTTTGAATATGATGTTAGTTGACCTCATTTGTTGGATTGAACTCAATAGTGTGTTAGATGATTGCACTATAGTATACTCATATTTTTTATATTAGTAGTTTAGTAAGTATATATATATATATATATATATATATATATATATATATGTAGTTTCGATGGGAACTCATAATTGTTAGATTGATTTAACACATTAAATTGCGAATGACTTGTGCTAAAACTACCAGTGCTACACACTTACTTCTTTATATTGATTGCGATAAAGATATGGTTAGTAATGTTTTATGCCTTACCGGTCACTATTAGCTGTGTTTCCATCATTTCAGATCCGACACTATTATTAACAGCACATCGGTAAACACCGGCGTCGGACTGTAGCACTTGGCTTATCTTCAACGAGCCATCCATTTGACGGATCCTATTAAAGGCCAATTGTCGGATTGGCTGTAAATTTCTTGTCCAAACGTATGTGGGAACTGGATATCCCTGTGCAGCACAAGCCAACTCCACATCCTTGCCTTCCCTGACTGTAACCACTGGTTTACTATCAGTTATTCTCGGCGGTTGATTACTAAATGCCTCTATAGTTATGTTATTTTTATCAAAACAAAAAATAAATTAATATCATAAATAAATTACAAAATTACAAATAAACTAAAATTTTTAATTAACTCCTCTATTGTGCGTTACATTCAATGAAATCATTTGTTATATTTTATAATAAACTTAAATACAAAAGAAATTTTCTTTAAAGAGAAACAGCTTTAGGCTTTCTTTAGCTATTAAAATATGCGTTAAATTTGCATAAAAAATGCAATTTATATATCGAGTCTTATTTTTATAATAATAACTAATCTCAATATTATAATATTCTTTATACTAGTGTTTGAAAATACTTTTATTTGTAATAATTTATTCATAAAAAATAATGTTACAAATTATCTTTGTTTATTAGTGCTTATCTTTTAATATTTTTGTTTATATATAAATTTTGTTTATTAATTATTACAAATTTATAGTATATAATTTTATGTATTTTTTGTAATGCTTATACTGAAAATCTATGACAAATAAAACAATTTTTCTTGTTTAAATATAWATATAWATATATATATATATATATATATATACTGTATATATACTGTTTTATATTTTCATTTACGTTGTTTGAAATAAATATAATAAAAAATAATTTGTGTTCATTTATAACATTTATTTATACAATAAACGCAATTTCAACTTTAACTGAGAGCTCAAATTTATAAAATAATCCACAGATTTTATTTTAAATTTGAAATAATTTAAACTCACAAATAAAGACTCATTTTGTGGTATAAAACTACTGAAATCCTACTAAAAATTAATGAGAAGTCATTTAAGTGCTCATCATTTATATAATAGTATTTTATATATTTCACTATAAGTCTAACTTAAATGTATACGAATTCAATGATTTTGATTATCTCAAAAAAAAAATAAAAAGTATTTTCGATTTATTAATATATGATATAAAATACAATCAAAAATTATTATTATTATTATTGTCTAGAAATAAAAACAGTACATTTAAAATAGTAATTACATTTTTGAGTAAAAAGCATTTAATTTTATTAATTTAAATATCGATTATTGAGAGATATTGAAAATAAAATAAACACTTATTTAACACTTTTATTAAATAAAATATTCATTAAATTGCTGTTAATTGACATACCGGTGACATAGAGGCGACCGACCGATGAGCTAATGAGTGTTTCTCCGGTCAATCGGTGCCTCACTTGACAGCGAAAAGTCTTTAAGGCATCGCTTTGTTGGACGCGACGGATATGAAGCTCTCCCGAAGCAAACACTGAGAAGCGATCGCCTGAATGGGTGTGCAATCAATTCAATAGTCATTGCAATTGTTAGATAAATGACTGATAATTTAAAAGCAGTGTATATTCAGTATAAAAGATATAATGTAAGGGGAAATGGGATTGAATACGCACCGGGAGGATCATTGGCCTGAATGAGTGTTGTCGAGTCCTGAATCCAAGAGACAACATCAACAAAATCTTTAATAAATCCGGGAATATGACACCGAAATACTGCAGTGTTTCCAACTGTCACAAAATCATCATAAACCTCTACCACGTAGTGTTGCTGAACCACTATATTATCATTATAAATAGCACAGGGAGGTTAGATATTAGCAACTTATTTGAGATATGGCAACAAATTAGATGCTCAACACAATAGTGCAAAAAAATTTATATATATTATCATCAAAAAATGACATTATATTTGATGGTAAATATAGTTCACTATTAGTTATTACAGTAAAAAATTATATTTTTTTAAAACTATTTCTTTTCAAAGTTGAAAAATATAAGACAAATGATACAAAAATGTGTGAAACTAGAGATAAATTATATACAATATATATTTCTTTAAGTACATACAGATGTGGATATAGTGATCAATAAAATAAAATATCATTTTTTTTGTCTCTAAATGTATAGTATAAGTAAGAGAAAATAAAACTAAATTATATAATTTTTAAGACATAAAAAAACTTAATATAAAAATTTGAAAAATGTATAAAAAGTTTCGATTTTTTATATAATATCTAATTTGAAAATAAGTTTTCATCTTTCCTAAGACTAATATTTTTTACAAAAAAAAACTATTGCAATCGTAAACAAACATATAAGCATACAAAAAATTTAAAATATCAACAAAATCATATGATATTTTTTATATATTATATCAAATATCTAACCTAACATTCAATTTTGATATTTTTATTTAGATACATCATATATTTTAGCATAAATAACATATACTATTTTTTCTGTATATATTTAATATAAATGTGTAGTAAAAATTGAGTTTTTATGTTTTGAAACTTACAAATATGTGTTTGTATTTCATGTGTGAAAACTCATTAAATAGTAATTTAAAGAATAATCTGTAGAGTATATGTTTTGGTACTACAGTATACTCTCAAACATATTATACAGTACTGTATATAAACTGATAGGTTAACTAAAATATATACTATGTATTTATATCATATGTTAAAAATTAATATTTTTATTTTTACTTGAATTATTTATGAGTTTCTAAATATTTTCTTTTTTGCAATTGCTAGACTCACAATTGTATATTAATTATAAATTTGCATTTAATTAATCCACTGATTTTAAATAACTCTTATAGACAACTAAGTACAGTATATTCTGTAATTCAATTTTCAAATGTTTTATATATAAATCAATAATAATCATTACAATAGATTATTAAATATCTGACCTATTTTGTAATTTGATAAATACTCTCTCTCTCTCTCTCTCTCTCTCTCTCTCTCTCTCTGAAAGTCTTCAATTATTCAATACTCTATGATAACATATGGACACAATTGAGCGCACAATCAACATAAGGTTTATAATATTTTTAAAAAATAAAAATTTGTTTTATAACTTTTTATTTGAGTCAACAGTTAACTGATAACTACTATATGCTTTATTTATCATAAATATTGTAAAAATAAAAATTTTATTTTTTCAATTTTATTTTTTATTTTGTAAAATATTTATATAAATGATACGCTATATAAAGTCATACTTATATTACACATATATAATAAAGATAGTAACTTATCTTAAATTCAATACAACAAACATTATTATATATAAACTTGAATAGTGATGTTATGATTGATTTTATTTTCATCAAATTTGTTGAACTATTATCACCCAAAACACATCAGTAATATTGTAATAAATAGCAGAATAATACTATTTAAATTTTTTTAGTAAAACTCAAAACAATTTTCCCAAAACACTACACAATAAATAATATAAATTTTGCCTCAATTGCAAACAAGATCTGAATTCACAAATATAACAAACAAATTATTATCAAAATGATGTGTAGATATTCTGTTTGTATATTAAATTGAATTATTGTGTAGATATTTATATAGTATATTATTATTATATATAATAATAATGCATTTTGTGACCAAAATTGCAAAATTTCTTAATAATAAAAAATCAAGTGTAAAACATTATTATTGTTAAAAATACAAATATATATAATATTATTGAAAATCAATTGAGAAAAATAAAGTAATGTTTAGAAATTTAAGAGAAATAATGAAAATGTAAGAGTTTTTTTGGTTCATTGAATTACATTCAAGTATTGCTTTACTCTCTATATGTCTTATATAGTACTGACCATTGGTATGATATGAGTTCACATAACTATCCTCTCATTTCTTTTATTTATGTCATTTCTCTCTAATATATGATTTGTTAAAAAGTGCGAMAAAATAAGCGAAACAAAGACGAACTCCAAATAAAAAAGGAAGTGATTTCTAAGTCTAACTTTTTTTCTGTTAATTTATATCCCATTCCTTGTCATTCATTCATATCATACTTATTCTAGTTATGAGATGTGTATACCGCCACTGGCTATACTAACTTATATCAAATTATATAATATTATCAAAGAATCAATAAAAAGAAAGGTATATTAGAAAAGAGTCAGTCGAAAGATAGATAGATAGAAAGTAAGAGAGAGAGAGAGAGAGAGAGAGAGAGAGAGAGAGAGAGAGAGCAATAATGTTGAATGCTTTACCATGTGTTTGATGAAAATGAAATAATAGTAACTAATAGCATGAGTTATAGACTGAAACGACAATAGTTGGGTTATTAACGAGACTTTTGGTATCGTATGTTATATACAATCAATAAGTAGTCAAACAGTTTGTTATCTATGAAAACCTCTGGAAAAGTAGTCTTAAGAAAGAAGAATAACAAGAATAAGAATATCGAAGAGATATGTATTATAACGTTAGTTAATATTATAGATATATATGGTATGCATGGATATCCAAGTTATGCCTTTACACAACATTTATCATCAATGAGATGAAGAGTAAAAGTAGAGTTCATTTGATCCATTGATAAGTAATGCATTATTTGCTACTTATATACTCATATAAGTGATAACTACTACAACCCAGTTATTACTCGACTCTTATATGAATTATTCGCTCACAACTATAGCATATTAATGTCAAACCATAGCACTGGTAGACAACTTACACCATAAGCACTATTACTACTTGAATGAAGAACTTTATACACTTCATTGGTCTCATCCAAGTTCTGACACATGGTATGTAATGCCAACTCTAACACAGTGTCTATGAGTAACAAAAAAAAGTGAAACAAATGGCAATAAATGAATGACAGACCCAATAGTGCAATAGTTTTGCTCAAAGAAATGACTTTGCCTTTCGTTTACCATTTTATTTACGGAAATTTGTGCCGACTTTGGCTGTAAAGACAAGGAAATCAACTAAAAGGAAATGATTCATACATTCTATACACTACTCATAGCAGACAATCATTTGTATTTTGAAGCACTTGTAGTCCTAGATATGTGTCTCTGATTTTTTCATTAATAATATTATACTCTCCCCTATATAATGATAATAGTGACCATGAAATCAATTGAAACAAACTTTAATAAAAGCAATATAAAATTATTATAAATACTTATGCTATATATATTTTTTGTTGATTTTAAAAGTTTATATATCAATAGATAAAGTAAATGGCAATCAAGTTAATGTTTATACAGTAATATAATGAAAATTAATGGTCAATAATTAAATTAATGGTTTGAAAGTGGCCACTAAAAATTGACTCATAAGTATATTTACACAAACATTAAGAGATAAAGTGTTGCCATAGTTGTAAAAATATCTAACAGTTTGGCATATAATCTACAATATATTACTTGAAGAGTTGTAGTATTAGTATTAGTATTAGTAGTAGTAGTAGTAGTAGTAGTAGTAGTAGTAGTAGTAGTAGTAGTAGTAGTAGTAGTAATAGTACTGTAGTAGTAATACTAGTAGTATAAGTTAGACTGAAAAGTCGATTGAATTTTTGATAATCAAAACTAATCAAATAAATTGTGTCTGAAATTGTATTGCAATCACGAAATTTAGTTGTTGTTAACTATATTTTTCGGTCGATCTCGACATTAGTATCCATTACTTGGGAAAGAAAGAAGAACTGAATACCAGAATAATACTTATAAGTACTGTCTATACCAATGATTAAGAGAAAAATTCTTGAAGTAAACAAAACAATTACTATTTGGATGCTATGTTAGGGCTGAGCCGTTCCCCTCAATATATTCTACTTTTTTTTCGAGTGAATCCTATTTTATCGATCATTTGTGTTTTGAGATGAGACACAAATTTTAGGGAAAACCTAATATATAGTACACATTCTGTGGTCATTTATATTAGGCCTTAATCTATGAGAAGTTTATTGTGGACGAGAACCGACAGATTGACTGCTACTGAAACATAGTGAGCCTTCAAAGCTTAAAGCCTTAATTTTAGTTAATACAATATTTAGGTCTATCCCACTGTTATTTATTAAATGTCTAAACCTATTGCCATCAACTATTGACGTGCTTTGCTATCGTAAATGTTATATATATATATAATATAAGTTGTACTCTATATATCACACACATGTTTATTATGCATGAGAGAAGCCATCGATTAGCCAAAACAGCTATATATTGACTTTAGAAAAACTATTTACAATATTTTAACATTTAATGTATTACTGTTTTGTTAAACAACAAAATTATAATCTCAAACATAATACCCAAATCAGTTAATGTTATTTTTACCAAAAATTAATAACTGTTATATTATACTACAGTATAACCGATCAAACATTTCTGTACTATCATTCATACCAAATGTGAACTAAATTATTATTAATACTAATATCATAACATAATGTGTGAAATCTAAATTAAATTTTATCAATATAGCAAATAAAAAATATTTTATCAATTTAATTATAAACTAATATATTATTATTATATTAAGTTTCATAACAAACTTGAATTGCGAAGAAAAGAAATATATTAAAAATATTTCATTAAATATTTTCTATTAACGTTTATTTGCAAAACACAATAGATCTATGAGTATCATAAACGCAAAATTTTAATATAAATAAAATAATATTTTTATTAATTCTTAAAATTAAATAATTATAAGACAGTTTATATAACTGAAGYCAAATATATAATGTAATAATCAATTTAGTTTTCAAATACAGAATAA